GAGTGCCGATTACTTACCAGAACAACTAAAAAAAACTAAAAATGAGCTTGATAAAGAAAGAAAGAAGTTGAAAGCTGCTAAACAGAAAGTTAAACGAAGAGATGAGAAAATAATAAATCTTTTGGGTGAGACAAAAACAAATATTTGATATCATCTAATGAGTACGACTTATTGAATTTAAATTTCGGTGAAAACGCTTACACCATTTTTGAAAATGAGCTGAAATCGAAGGATGTTGATAAGCATGGTCAGAGATATTCCGAGAATCTGAAACAGTTTGCTGTTACACTTAATTTTTATAGTCCACAGGCTTACGAGTTTGTAAGAACTTATTTGCATCTTCCCCATCCCGGAACGATAGCAAAATGGAGTTCCAGTCTTAATTGTAAACCTGGATTTCTTAGCGCAGTTTTAGATCATCTTAAATAAATGGTTCTTGAAAGGCCAGACTCTAAGTATTGCTGTATAATGTTCGATGCCATGGCGCTGAAGAAGGAAACGGTATACGACCCAAAGGATGGACAATACCCCGGTTTCGTTGATTGTGGAATATTCCAACCCTCCTGTGGTGATAGTTTGGCCACTGAAGCCCTGGTGTTCATGGCTGTTCATTCATGCTACAGAGGCAATAGCTGTTCTCCGGGCCTTCAGAAAACATGAATGAAACTCAACGATGGTTTCAAGTTCGATTAGATTTATTCGGATTTAAAAATACATGTTGATGTTTACAGTGACAAGTCGATGAGCCGAGTCAAAACAACTCGGTGAGACAAAAACAACAACCTCAAATAATCTCGAAACCAATCGATAATCGATACGAGTTACCCCCCTTTTGCACGACTCGGTCCCTTTTAAACATACCCCCCTCCTTGATGCGACAAGGATTCAAAGGAGCATCAAAATGCAATACTAATAAAGCTATCTACTAACAACATCTAATAATCTATAAAATATAAACATCGACGTCTATTTCTATAACTATCATTTTTACTGCTATTATATTTACTATTACTATCTCTATAAACGGTGTTATGCAACCAATTCTATTGCAAACTATTCTATACTATGCGAAGTCTAAGCTATATACACGATGTCGATGTCTTGCTAAATTAGCACTATAACTATGCAATACGATACTGCTATACTAAATTGCTGCATTAATGAGCACTATACTTCCTATTCTATGCACAACTCTAATTTTTTTCTATTTTCTGAATAAATTTCAAAATAACGAAAAGTGTGCCAAAACAACAAATCAAGTGACCATACAAATACACAACATAATATACAATAGATCATACATCCAATGGGCACAGTCGGTGGATAATCCGCTTCAAAATATTGTCTCTGACTTTCACATCAACGACGCGTACATGTCCATCATTACCTGGGTAGGTTTTTAACTATGCGTCCTAATGGCCACTTTCCTCGCGGTGACTGAGGATCTATCAGGAGCACAACATCACCGGTCTCTAGATTTTTACTAGGAGTGTTCCATTTATTACGCTTATTGAGTGTTGGCAAAAACTCACGGATCCATCTACGCCAAAATTGTCCTATTAAGTCCTGAATTCTACGCCAGCGTCTACGAGGGTCATAATTAGCACCATCGAATTCCGGAGCTAAAGCATTACCGAGCTGTCCACATAAAAAAGTGACTAGGGGTAAGGACTGGATCATTGTCCGCACTATCACCAATATCGCTGTCGTTGTGTTGATTTGGCCCATCACCAAGCTGTACGTTTTCTGTATTTAGCCGGCTTCCAGTACCTTCGTCATCGGACATATTGGATTCGAGTCACTCCAACTAGTTGAGCATTTTGTAAACAAACATGCTGAACAAAATGGCTGCCTCGAAAATCCGTTGAATGGTACACACCATCTTCGGCCAAAATAAAGAAGGTTTTTAATTCATCTGGATTTAAAACCACGCTCTACTACCAAATGTTCTCCGGGCCTTCAGAAAACATGAATGAAACTCAACGATGGTTTCAAGTTCGATTAGATTTATTCGGATTTAAAAATACATGTTGATGTTTACAGTGACAAGTCGATGAGCCGAGTCGAAACAACTCGGTGAGACAAAAACAACAACCTCAAATAATCTCGAAACCAATCGATAATCGATCCGAGTTACCCCCCTTTTGCACGACTCAGTCCCTTTTAAACAATAGCCATCTAACTTATTGTGCGTTTTAAATCATTTATCTATTGAATTAATAAAAGCCTAGCTTTATAACCTCTTTCGTATAGGCCTAGGCCTAATAAGTCAATGCCTATTTTCTCTTTTTTAGCAAAATGAGCTTTACCCACCGGGCACTTTAAGACTATTAACTCTTCATAACCTGAAAATTAATATAATGAAATAGACGAATAGATAGAAAAAAGCTTTATTCTCCGAAATAATGAAATGAAACTTGGTTTTTTTCTAATTTTCATCTAAGGGAAATAGACATGAAATAAGTTTGTCTATCGAAGATCGTCCATTGTAAACAAACGGTACATCCGGGTATTCACTCCGGAAACTCCCCGGAATCGTGATGGCTGACGTCGCTTCATGACGGCACGAATCTTTAACGTTAAGCCAATGGGAGTCACGTGATAAGTGTGGACTCTAGTTTCTATATATAATATGGTATTGACAGATATGTCACAGTGAATTGACTACGTAGTCTACAACCATGGCAATAGCGAAGTTTCAATTTAAAGGGGCATTCAGTTGTGTTTTTTTTCAGTCGAAATTTCCTTTGTTCAACTTTGTGAAAACTATACACCAAAATCTAGAAAAACGTGTCCCTTAACATTTACGTTTTAACCAAAAAAAATCTAGCTATTAAAGATGGGTTTCCTTATTTTTAGTGTCAAATTGTTGCATATAATAAGGAGATTTAACCAATCATAAATGACAATATATGTACATTCTTGATAAACAAAACAAGTGGTTCCCTAGCAAGATACGCCCACATAAATTTTCAGTATTTCAAAGACGGTCGCCAATCTGCGTCAAATCGTACCAAAAATCTAATTTGTACAAGATATTGTTGATTTAATCAAACACACAACATAAACTGCCGTCAAATTTTGATGCATTTTTGCTAGGTCAAGGGCAATAACTCAAATTTCATTCATTGAAAAATCGTCAAATTCAAACTTGACCAAGATCTCATTGTAATAGATGATCACACCAGATTTCATTAAAATCGGATAAAAACTGTAGTCTCTATTGTGTTCAAAAACAAATTTTGACACGTTTGTACTAAGTCAAGGGCAATAACTTAAAAACCATTCATAGAAAAATTGTCAAATTCGAACTTGACCAAGATCGCATCATTTTAAATGATCACACCAAATGTTATTTAAATCAGATGAAAACTGTAGTCTCTATTGTGTTCACAAACAAAGTTTGACTCGTTTTTCCTAAGTCAAGGGCAATAGCTCAAAAACCGTTCATCGAAAGTTCGTCAAGATCTCATGAATATAAATGATCACACCAAATTTCATAAAAATCAGGTAAAAAACTGTAGCCCCTATTTTGTTTACAAGCCAATTGTGGACGGATGGACCGACGGGCGGACGGACGACGACGGCCAACGACAATAAACGATCACATTATAATGTGGGCGTATAAAAAGACTTTTTGACCATTCTTGATCCGTCACTCATTGGAATTCTGCTGGTAATTCTCTTCAATACTAAAGAGTTTAACAAGCAAGTATCCAGATGGATTTCAGACCACAATGGCAATATATAACACACTAGAGGCAACCGACCTGCTCTCTATTGTTTATAAATCCAAAACATTTTCGGGAAGGGATGTTTTCTGGCAAAGGGGTGCAACTCGTATCTACAAATATGGTCAATTTAACCGGCGACGATTGAGTTAGGCTATATATTTGATAAAGTTGTACAGAAGATTACTAACGGGATCTATATATATAACATTCCAGAGATAATTTCTTAGATACAATATCCCTGGGATTTTCACAAATTTTGCATGAGGCAAATGTCCTGCTGCCTTTGAAGTTAGTCATTTCTGTCATCGCAACATTTTCGGTAGACTTCAAACGTTAACCACCTACATGAAGACATCAAATAAGCGATATATATTTAGCGAATATCATACATATATTTGATTTTCCTTTTTCAAATAAGCTATACACAGGGGAGAATACACATAAAAACGGCGCTGAAACACAGAGTAAAAATACTGTGTTGTTTATACAATGTAATATTCAATTCACAGGAAAGATTTAGTGATCGATTATAATAATGATGGATCTACTTGAAAGCTGCTTACACTACATAGGTTCTTCAAATGTTAGCCTCTCGTAGACTCTGTTCCAAAACTCATCACTTGACGATTGCTGAATATCAAAATAAAACACGTTGGTCTGTGATATTGCTTCAAATAAATGATGAATATTGGGGGGAATTCTTGCTTGATTGTCTTTCAATAGAATGATTCTATTTGGCGTTGTCAGGGTGATAGCTGATAAACAATTACATATTGTAAATAAACATAAATCCGATGTTAAAAAATCTTTAGTTACGATTAGAACTATTTTCCAACTATCACGTATGCTTTCTACTATATTGATTGTTTCAGAGCGTCCAGGTCGGCCTAAATCCACATTTAAACCTCGGTTGACATTTAATTCATTCATTAATTCATTATGGATGAATCTATGAGTGGAATTCAAATCAGGAAACACTGCCACATCGTTTACAAACTCACTTCTTTCCTTTGGGTATACATGTTGTCCAATAAGACGCAGAAAGAATAATTGAAATCTAAGTTTATTTTTGAGAAAAACGAATAAGAAGCCTAAAAATAAAAACGTTGAACTCAGTCCACCAATTGCTATGTTCGTCCACAATGGAGATACACACTGCCTTTCTAAATAGATCAAATTATGCATCACCAGTCCTGTAGTAGTCAGTTCACCTGTCATATCCATACAAGTATAATTTCTTCCATCTAGCCGTGTTCTAGTTTCTTTCAACCACAGTAAGAACTTCACCGAAGGACATCCACAGTACAACACATTACCATATAAGGATATATGAAAATTTGAATTTGTATTCGATGTTCTGTCCAGCATATTTCGTGTAGTTTGGTCTATTGTCGTCAACCCGTTGTAGCTCATATGAATATGCTTCAGAGACATTAATGACGTCACATCCGGAATAAATATAAGTTTATTATTAGTTAAAACTATCATTTGAAGATTTTTGAGCTCACTAAAAATATCATTCGGTAAAGAAGCGAGACCATTATTAGAAATATCTAAAACTTCTAGTTTGGTCAAGGGAGATAATAGACGTGATCCACTCTGAATTAAGAAATGATTATTAAGTAGAGTGTTATGTAAACGAAGATAGGTTAAGTTGGAAAATGTGTCAAAAAACTCCACATTTAAAATACTTAAATCATTTCCGCTCAAATCTAAAACGCGTAAATTAGGTAATCCATATACTCTATGTTGAAAATCATACAGACCACAATAAGACATGTTTAAATGATTTAAACTCTCACCATGGAAGAAAAAAACGTCGGACATTTCCCCAATTAGTCTTGGCATTCCGGCTATATCAATGTACTTTAAATTAGATGGTAAAATTAAGGGTAATCCCATGGGAAATCTTTTAATCTGAGGTGCTGTAGCTTGCAACGTTTCCAATTGGTTGAATGGACATATTTTCTGTAAGGAAAGGTCAATCTTTTGTAGGCTATAAAATGCAGGAAGAAGGAAAAACGCTGCTCTATTTATATTGCCTGTGATTGTATTTTCACGAAGGTTAACTTCTTGGATACACTTTGTGAAAAGTGGAAAAGGTGGTGTAAGGAGGACATTTGAGTCTACGTCAATGAGGTTTGCGCTTGATATTTCAAGTTTGGATACACAGATTTGAGAGAGTGTAACCACATCTAAAATATGACCATGGCCGGCGATTATGGTCGTGGAGTAAAATTCCTGTATACTGATAAACTCCATTGTCTTGTTTTTATATACTTCCAGTGCTTGAACAATGTCATTCAGACCTCCGCTATTATAGTGTACAGCATTGAAAAGGAACGTCTGTAAATACGGTAAAGGCTTCAGACAACCAGAGTGAAAAGTTTGAATATGACATCTACTGAGATCCAATTGGAGGATGTGAATTGAATGGAATACAGAAAACGTGTCGTTGGTAATTTCTGTGATCGCACAATCATACGCATAGATCTTGTAGAATGTAGTTCCAAGTGAAAGACTTGTGAGATTTTTCAAGTTGGAAAATCCCCATTGAAACACTGTATTCGGTGTAGTATCAATATTTATCTGTTTTAGTTCAACGAGTTTACTGATTGCTTGATGTGGTAGTTGCGGTTGGTTTTTATGAAATCGAGACATATCCGTTCTCATAATCAATACTTGAAGGGACTTGAGCGGTTCAAAGACATCTACTGGCAATGATTCGTTTGTATAATTCAATCTGTGACCGAATAAGTGAAGTTCTTGCAAGGTCTGTAATCCATTAAAAGCGCTCACTTGTATCAACGATATCAAATTTATACTAAGATCTAAATATCGAAGGTTTGTCAGCTCACTGAAATCATTGTTAAACAAGGTCGTTATATTATTGCTGCTTAAATCAAGTCTTGTGGTATTCACAGGTAAATTCTTCGGTACGTTCAGAAATCCTAGGCCTGAGCAATTAAGGAATGTGCTGTTTGGATAGTGTTTACAAGACTGGGGCGAACCAAAGGTGAGAAATGTTAAAATTTCTACCAACAATAGAACCTTCAGCTTCATTTTCATTGTTATAATGACTGTTTCTTAAATCTAGAAGTAAAAACAATTCACTGGTAAACACGAAGAACAATATTCATGAATATCATCCCTCAAGTAGACTGAACATAAAACTGATTTAAAATGAAATGATCAAATTTGGCCAAAAAAGGTATATGTTGATAAGCGGACTCAATAGTGTCATAACAAGAAATATTAAAACAGAACCTAAAAACATATTGTTGTTCTGTTTTTATATTTCTATATAGCTCTACAATTGATGTATTGATCACTATTTTAACAGTGATATTTCTATATCACTCTACAATTGATGTATTGAGTACTATTTTAACAGTGGTATAGAATTCTATATTGCTCTACAATTGATGTATTGAGTACTATTTTAACAGTGGTATTTCTATATTGCTCTATGATTGACGTATTGAGCACTGTTTTAACAGTGAAAATATTTTACGTACAATCCGATATATCTTTAAAACTAGGTACTTTCAAAGTATTCAAATGTGTATAGTTATAATAATAATAATGTATAGTTATGACATGACGGAAGTTCACTAATGATTACATGTATATACTATAATTGGCCAAGTTTGATAATTCAAATTTTATGTGAATTCTAAGAGGAAGGAAACGTATTTATGTAGCAGACGGAAATTACAGCAATAAAATCATCTATACTAACGTAACTCAAGTTGAATAGATATTTCCCCCCTCCCTCCTTTACATTTACATATCATATTTTCGTAAGACTTTTTGTGAAACGGAGCTACGTTTTACGAACATGACGCTCTCTTTTGTTTTTCTCGTCAATCTACTGATGTTAATGGCCGGCGATATTGAATCAAATCCAGGTCCATCTACTAGACAAAGCCAGATCTCAACCAAGACCGGTGAGTTAGTTCTAAGCAATAGTAAAGATAGTCTTAAAGACCTCACTCAAATTGTTCTAGATTTGAAGGACGAGATAGCTAGCCTCTGAGGGGAAGTGAGGGAACATAATATTAAAGACGAACTCATGACATTGAGGAATGAAGTAAATCAAGTTAAATCGGTGTTAAAGTTAACACAGTCATGAGCAGAGTTGACGTAAATGATACTCAATTGAGACAGAAAAAATCGATATTTTATGTTTTTGACGAAAGTAAAGGAGGGAAAAGACAAACCTGGGGTGATTGTGAAACTTCGATAAGAAAGTTTTTATCAGAGAAATTAAAGATAGAGGGTGCAGAGGATGACAGTTTAGTTTCCATTGATCGTGTTCATCATATCGGAAAAATGCGTCAAAATTCAAAGTCTCGTTTCATAGACTAAAACAAGAGACATAATCCTGTTTAAAGCCAGACAACTGCTCAAAGAATCAAATGTGAGTGTTTCTGAAGACTTCACTCAAAGAGTGAGATCAATTCAAAATACCACATCTCAAAGAGGCCAAGCAGAACAGCGATAACACCGTGACGCTAAAAATCTGATATTAACAAAAAAATGTATTTACTTTTTACCTTGATAAGAAACAATTAGTTCAAATCAATCAATAGCAGCCACACAACAGAAAAACGAATATAATAAACGATCTCTTAATATTGTTTCTTGGAACATTGAAGGCCTCTCATATAAACTTTCAAAATACGATAATTTATGCACTCTAGTCAAACAATATGATATAGTTGGTTTTGAGGAAACTTTTCAAAAAACTCATGATGAATTTTCAAATACTTCCCCGGGATACCACACATTTGATAGTAAGCGAACTTGAGACTCAAACAAATCTTCTGGGGGTGAACTTGCTCGTCAAGTCTGCTCTGTCCATCTACACAAAACGAATTCAAGAACGCGATAATTTGGAAGAAATGGTATGGCTACACATCAACACCAAAAAACTTGGCCTGCCTAGAAATACTATTGTAGGTTGTGTTTATGTCCAACCCATCAACTCAATCTTTTATGATAACAAAGATGTAAACTGTAATATTTCTGCAATAGAATCAGCATTATTCTCTATTAAACAAATTTATACTGATATAGATATTATCTTAATGGGAGACATGAATGCCAGAACTGCAATTGTCACTTAATTGAATGTGACACCGGCACCCATATACCAAGTTTGGAGGCTTGCTATGACATCATGCAAATAAACCACACTCCGACAGATATGATACCAACACGACAAAACTGTGATATGCAAACGAATAATTTTGGAAAGCACCTATTGGATTTGTGTTGCGAAAGTAACATGATAATTCTAAATGGTCGAAAAAATCCCGATTTCCAAGATAATTTCACATATGGTGCGAGTGGTGCGAGTACTATCGATAATATTATTATCCTAATCTTTTCCCTAATATAAGTGTGTTTTCCGTCCTTGACACTGATATATCAAAACATTTCCGAGTATTCTGAGAACTTTTATTATGTAAGAACGTCAAACCAATCAAAGAAATCGTCACAAATTGTCAAGTATAAATGGAAACCTAGTTTTGTTGACCAATTTATATTAAACATTAATAGTGCCGAATTCATGTATAAACTAGACAACGTACTCCAGAAACTGGACGAAGACATGGAATCCTCGATCAAACTTCTAAAAGAAGCACTTTTGTCTACCGATGATAAGTCGAAAATGCGGAGTTGTATGCAACCAGACTATCGTAAACAGCCAAGATGGTTTAATAATCAACTTGTCAGTCTCAAGAAATCAAAATGTGAAATTCGGTTAAATTCATTCCGTATCACAAATAATCAGTATGACCTTGATAGATATCTCGAAGCTGAATTAGCATTTCAGCTAGAATGCTCTACGCAAAAAGACCTCTATCACAAATCAGTATTAGATGAACTGTGTAACGAAAAAGACACGGTTAAATTCTGGACGAATATAAAATACTTCCTTAATGCGTCTTGTGAACATAAACCCGCCATTGATAATGATGAATGGTGCACTCACTTTACTAATTTATTGAATCCCACTACAGACCAAAATGATGCCCATGTTTCTAATGTGATCAATAGTGCAGAGTGTGAAACAGATGTAACGTTTTGTGACGAGCTCAACCGTGATATTACACAACAGGAAATATCATGCGCTATACCCAAACTGAAAAGTGGTAAAGCGACAGGCGAGGACTTAATACCACCAGAATTCTAAAAATATGCCTCCGATAAACTGTTACCAGTGCTCCACAAACTTTTCAACAGCATATTTAACAGTGGGGTTTTCCCAAAGACCTGGTCGACAAGCATCATCCACCCTGTACATAAAAAGGGTGACCGTGACACACCCGCAAATTATCGTGGAATCTCCTTAATTGATGTTGTATCAAAATTATTGTGTTCTATTCTTAACAAAAGGTTTGTCGAATGGCCCGAGGAACATCAACTGCTTGTTGAAGGAGATGTGGCTACTCCACTGTTGATAATATATTTGTTCTTAATTCTATTGTCCAGAAATACTTATCTAAATCCAAACGGAGTCCTATACTGATGTTTTGTCGATTTTAGTACTGCCTTCGATTTAATCCAAAGATCAAAATTGTTTTGTTTACTTATCAAAAAGGGCATGCATGGCCGAATGTACAATTGAACCATTTCAAAAGTTTAGAGCTAATGGTACTTATTCTACAGAATTTGAATGTGTCTCTGGGGTAAAGCAAGGATGTATCCTTAGCCCATGGTTATTTGGAATCGACATAAATGAGCTTGCACTCATGTTGAGATCTGAACGTAGATCAGGTATATTTATCAATCAATGTATCGAAGATGTTTTTCTCTTGCTTTTCGCAGATGATATCTCCTTGGTTGTAGATACTGTAGGCGAACTCCAGAATAGGCTTGATGTCCTCAATACATATTGTTCAAAATGGAACATGAAAGTTAATCTTGCTAAGACTCAAGTTGTAATTTTTAAGAACGGGGGTGTTTTGTCAAAAAAGAAAAATGGAACTATCAGGGTAACCAGATTGATGTTGTCAACCATTACAAATATCTAGATATTATATTTTCAAATAAGTTTAAGTGGAATCTGCGTTGTAAAACCCCATCTCTGCAAGCAACCAAGGCACTTAACTGTATATCTAAACTTGGACAAAGTAATGTTAATATTGCATTTAAATTGTTCGATTCTATGGTCAGTCCAATATTATACTATGGAGCAGAAATTTGGGGAACCGAACTCAAGCCGGACATAGAAAATGTACAAAACAAATTTTGCAAATGGATTTTGTGTACAGGTATGAAAACTAAAAACGCCATTGCTAGAGCAGAATGTGGAAGACTAGAGCTCTTCTTCAATTATGTTATTAAACCGGTTAAATATTTTCTTACAATTCAAAGTACGAGCGACAACCGATTGCCAAAATTGTGTTACCAGATGTTATACGAACACGATTTACATGGTAGGTTTAATTGGTGCTCATCTCTACGTATGTTGTTATGAAGTTCTGGTTTTGGTCATGTGTGGACGCATCAGGGTGTAGGGGACATTACACAGTTTATTGCTTGCTTTAGACAACGCATTAGAGATATAAATTTTCAAAACTGGCAGACTTTTATATCTCAATCCTCTCGCTGTGAATTCTACCACAAGATCAAATCAAGTATATATGCTGAATCTTATTTATCTAGTCCATTATCACATAAACTCCGTTTTTGTCTTGTTAACCTTAGATGTTCAGCTCATCATTTAGAGATTGAACAAGGCCGCCGCCATAATATTACAAGGAGGAGCGAATATGCTCAATTTGTAATAGGAAGCAATGAGGTGACGAGCTACACTTTATAGCATTCTGTCCTATACTTCAAGATCTCAGAACAAATTTCTTGCCCACATGGGTAACTAAATACCCTACAGAGGAAAACGTTGTCAGAATGTTTACGAGCCAAGACACAAGTACAGTTCGTTCTCTGTCCATATTTATATATAAGGCAATGGAAATAAGAACGGAAATCTTAAAGTCATAGATGCTTCCGATATTGTATCGATTCTGTATATATATTTATATTCACCCTTATTTATTTATCTAGTATGTAATTTATATTATTTAACCAGCACGATAATTATATATATATATATATTTATATTTATTTACTTTATTTAATTAACATAATTTTGTTTTTAATCGTTTATACAAAAAAACATTGTACTTTAATACTGTAGGCATATTGTCTTAGAATAACTGAATAAATAAATAAATGAAACGGAGCCCAGGACCGTAATTTGAGTCAAGTCGTTTCCTGTCCGGGATTTCAAATATACGTTATTTGCATCGTGTCCAGACCTATACCTCAAATATTCTGTTATTCTCCTGTATGTATAAATGTACTGCGCACTGAATACTTTACTCCATATATCGATCTGTACGAGTTGGATACTTGAATATATTGATTGACAAGATCAGTCATCTCGAAGATCGTATAGATGATCTAGAACAGTACTCGAGGAGAACCTGTCTAAGATTTTGTGGTGTCCCAGAAGATCAAAACGAAAATACCGACAATACAGTTTTGAGTATTATCAACAGTGAAATCCTTTATGACCTAAATATTCAATTGTCTATTTCTGACATTGGACTTGGTAGTCCTAGACAAAACCAGCCCAGAGATATCATAGTGAGATTTCTAAGTTACAGGTGTCGCGGCTTAGTATTCAAGAACAAGGGTTATTTGAAGAGTTATAATAGGCATAGAAACTTTAATATTTTTGTCAACGAAGCCTTAACAAAACAGAGATCTATCTTATTTAGAAAAGTTCGCAATTCGTTCAAAGATAAAGAAATCGACAGCTGCTGGACCTATGATGGTCGTATCATCGCCAAAACGCATCAAAATAGATTAGTAACAATCCAGACATAGGCAGACTTCGTAGAATTTTCGAAATCAATCGGCATCTCATTCTACAGTTTCAGAGACCCCTGCCACCAATGATCAAAACGATAGGGTCATCCCATCTGCGGCTGCATATCCTAATCCTAACCATATTCCGGTTCAAGCCATGAGACCTGATCAACAGTTACGTCCAAATAACCTAGCAGTGAATACTGGTCCTTCCTCAACATCTACACCTGTATCTAGGATAACCGATTTCTTTAATAATGAGCGAATTAATGTACCTAACCATGCTTCAAGAGCTTTTCCTCAGAGAGTCAGCAATGATTCTTTGTCCCAACAACCTACAGAATAGGATTTACCCAGGGTGACCAAGGAGCATAGAATATTAGCGTGGAATATCAACGGTCTCAAATCAGTTGTTAATGAAAACTCATTCCTGGAATACATCTCTAACTATGACATTGTGCTTCTCTCTGAAACCTGGTTAAAGGATCATGATCTGTTAACTCTAAGTGATTTCAATCACTGTTTCTTTATTAATCGTGGCAATGAATACTACCTTGGTAAACGTAACTCGATATGTGGTGGTCTTGCAATATTTGCTAAACCTTATTTTAATAAATTAATATCATGTGTCCTTAAAAAATCATGGGGCTTGAACGTGATAAGGTTAGATCGCTCTTCGCACAATGTAAAAGATCTTTATATTATATTTCTGTATATTCCACCCGTATCAAGTTCTTTTCATTACTTAGTCGAATTCGATATATTCGTGGAAGTTGAACAAATATGCCTTTATTATCAGTCTTTGGGTAATATTGTGGTTTGTGGAGACTTCAATAGCCACACCAGAAATAATTCAGATCAAATTAGTAAAAATAATATTGGGCAATATTTATTCAACGACCTCGAAGAATCTAGTTGTGATATGATTTTGTTTCCCAGATTCACTCAAGTTACTGTTTTGAATAGTTTCGGTAACAAACTTTTGGGTCTTTGCAAATCTACTGGATGTCTTATAGTTAATGGTAGAATTGGTTTAGATAAGGGTATTGGTAAATTAACATATTGTTCCTCGAAAGGTTCAAGTATAATCGATTACGTGTTTGCCGACTTAGATACATTCAAGACAATTCGTTCTTTTGAAGTTCTTGAATTTACAGAATTCTCGGATCACGCAGCTTTGAGTTTTAATTTAGAAAGCATTCAGACTCGTGATGCTTCAAATTTTGAGGAACATACCTTAAATTCCGATCTGGATTACGAACGTTTTGTTATTAGATGGGATTTGACGAAATAATGTCAATTTAGAAATGCACTCAGTGAACAATGTAACAATCTCAATTTAATTGTAAATTCTATATCTGTTGTTAATGATATTCACTCTGCGGTTGACAATATTATAATATATCGGTATCTTGTTTCGGTCACAAAGTGAAACAAAGGGGTTTATCTAGGAAACAAAAGTATTGTAAAAACGTTTGGTTTGATTCAGACTTTAAAAAAGCAAGGGAATCGTTCTCGAAATGTAGAAATTTGTTTATTAGAAAACGTAATCCGGTGAATCAGAAAGCTTTCTGTTCAAGTCGTAGTGTATATAGTAGTGTAAAGCGCAGAGCTAAAGCTAAATACGGGAGAAAAATTGGTCATTCTATAAATCAACTATATAAATCAAATCCTAAACTTCTCTGGAATCATTTGAAAGGTCAAAAAACTACTGTTACCAAAACTAATCTAACATCTAAGGATTTTTTCAACCACTTTAGGGAAATCTACAATGAGCGTAATTCTGACGAGCAAAACAACTACGAGAGTTCTGTCTTTGAAGACAACATATTTATTGAATCTCTGGATGAAGAGATAACCCCACATGAGGTTGAGCTTGCCATTAAAAAACTCAAATGTGAGAAAAGTTCTGGTCCCGATCAAATTTATAGTGAATTCTTTATACATGGTTCTAAGTTACTCCTTCCTTTGATATGTAAAATTTTCAACATTATTTTTATCTCAGGCTGCTACCCGACCGGTTGGTCCGAGAGTCTGTTAGTCCCTGTTCCCAAGAAAGGTGACCTGAACAATGTGGACAACTTCCGAGGAATCACTATCATGAACATATTTGCAAAGCTTTTTTCAATAATTCTTAAAAGTAGACTTACAAAATGGTGTGAATTTAATGACAAGCTCAGTGACTCTCAATTCGGTTTTAGGGCCAATAGAAGTACCCTTGATGCGATATTTATACTTAATGGAGTGATTGACCACTCACTTAATAATAGAAAAAAACTGTTCTGTGCATTTATTGACCTGCGGAAAGCTTTTGATTTTGTTGACCGAAAGTTTCTATTGGTTAAGCTTACCTCTCTTGGAGTAAGCAGCACAATGATTAATATTGTTAAGTCAATGTATCAACAAGTCAGTAGCGTGATTAAATTCAAAGATGATTTGTCGAGTTCTCGAGTTTCTCAGGGGTCAAACAAGGCGAACCACTTTCTCCTTTGCTTTTTTTGATTTTTATAAATGACCTCGAAAGTTTCCTTGTCAGTAATGATCCCGAATTAGTTAAGATAAGTAATACCATCATATACTTTTTACTCTTTGCTGACGACACTGTTCTCTTTGCGAACAGTGAAAGAGCCTTACAAAAACTCTTAGATAAATTTTGTTGTTATTGCCGTAGTTGGGACCTTCAGGTTAACGCTCACAAGTCTAAGGTAGTGATATTCCACAGGGGAAAGTTAATACCCAAATTCAGTTTTAAAATCGAAAATACGAAGTTAGAAATTGTCACCGAATATGTATATCTTGGTATCTTGTTCTTCCAGAATGGTAAATTCATTAAAGCCGAAAAGAGCCTAGCTTCACAGGTCGAAAAGGTTCAGGTTCTTTTATTGCCTCTATAAAAAAATTCATATATCAATACAAGCAGTAGGTGTTTAGCATATAGGTCATTAGTTGTTACAGTTCTCCTATATGCTTGTGAAGTCAACGCTGGTTTTTCATATGTTTTTAACAATCCACATTTGTTTAATTTTTTATCAATTAAGGCACGTATCAAAGATCAATACCATCAGGAATGGTTTGCTTCTCTAGAGCAATCCAGTAAGTTAAGATTTTACAAAAACTACAAACTAAATTTTGATCGTCGAAACGGGTCGTTATACCAAAATTCCGCGTAATAAGAGATATTGTTTATGTTGCAAATCCATATATATCGAAGACGAATTTCATTTCCGTTTGTGTTGCCCTTTATACATTGACTTGCGCCGCCGTTTATTTCATCGTCGATTTTGGGCGTTTCCTTCAATTTTTAAAATGAATAGATTATTATCTCCTAAAAATAATAATGAACTACTTAATTTGGGTAAATTTCTTTTCGAAGCAATCAAAATCAGAGAAGACCTATTAACACACTAATGCTGTCAACCTTTTGGGATTTCTTATTATTCTATGTAAATGTTTTGATTTATATAATTGATAAATTGTATATATTGTTATTTTTGGTATTTATTGACTTTAACCAGATTGATTTACATTGTTCATATTGTTCTTCCGTTAAATTTTTTGTTAAATAGCTATAGTATGTATGTACTTTGCTTAATAAAGTATCTATCTAATATATTCCTTCAGACACGTAAATATACGTAATATAATAATTTTCTAACCTACCGTTAAGTTACTGACAGGATTCAGTTATAACATATTTTGTTCACATATAATTCATATAGAATGCTTCACTAATACTTATCCTTCTCCACTACACCACGATTATTATTCATGGTAATTAAAACTTCCTTTCCACTTGTTGCGTGGTAGGAAGAATATTGGACCAATATTTCAACGATATGTAAGTAGATAAGTTACAGTGAATTGACTACGTAGTCTACAACCATGGCAATAGCGAAGTCTCAATTTAAAGGGGCATTCAGTTGTGTTTTTTTTCAGTCGAAATTTCCTTTGTTCAACTTTGTGAAAACTATACACCAAAATCTAGAAAAACGTGTCCCTTAACATTTACGTTTTAACCAAAAAAAATCTAGCTGTTAAAGATGGGTTTCCTTATTTTTAGTGTCAAATTGTTGCATATAATAAGGAGATTTAACCAATCATAAATGACCATGTCTTGATAAACAAAACAAGTGGTTCCCTAGCAAGATACACCCTTTTCCCTGATAAATTTAATATAAGTATTAGCACTTTCATTAATGAAAATAAGGGAACCCATCTTTAATTTTTTACATTTGATGTTTTACATCACTATTGTAATCTTTCCAAAGCAGTCCCATTCTGATGAATTATGGGCTGTGAAAAACAAAGTAAAGCAATATGACAGCTTCCAAGCAGCCGATATTCCACGATTTGCCATTGTTTTCAAAAATGAGTCCTACTTAAATCTCTTTGATGGGTTAAAACGACATTGTAATTTGATTTAAGTTAGAATTGTCCTGATTAATAATTACGAGCGTTTATTTATTTAGAGAGCATCAATATAAAACCTAAATGGATCTCACATCATAGCGATCCCGCATGTTGCGAATAAGAATAAGTTTTGGAACTCATGACCATTTTCATTATTTGGGATATCGGTACATCTAATTAAAGGCTAGAAATATTATTGGGAGTTGCTCAAATCGTTTTTAGATCGCCAGTTTTTTTAGACTTATCACCACTACTTTTGGTAACTATACAAAGCTGAACAATAAATGATACCAATGTTCTACAATGTCCCTGTACCCAAAACGGTACCACAATATAGTTGTCTGGCCCTAACTGTTACCTTGTCTAAAGGAGCCCTCACACCATAGCAAATGCCGCTTGCGTGTGATTGCGAATAAACTAGGCGTCATAACTTCCGACCGTAACTCACGTCGACTAGGTTGTATAGTTTGGAGGTAGCACTCTGAAAAGTTTCTTTATTCGCAGATCTATAACAATAATTGTACATTACAGTTTGTAACTAAAATAAAAACATCAGATCAATATGTAGGTGAAGCAGATCACTGTGAGCGTCAAGGAGAGAATGAAACTCAACCAGAAACACCACAAAGTTATTGTATCGTCACCTTTGACATATTCCTTATTCGTTTCCTTGGACGAAAACGCTTTCATATTTGGATCAACGCGCGCTGATCGTTTCCTCAAGCAGTTGAATAGGTTGTGCTTGATATCCATTTTGACTAAAATAATACATATGATAGTATACACAGCGCTTAGTCCTTGTAATATCATGATGTAGACTGATAACACCGATATGGACGAGGATGTTTTAGGCAGAATACCACTGACCACATTAAGGAACACGGTGTAGGATAGGAGAATGGTGACTGCTACTGAAACCGTTTCTCCTGATGAAGCTGGAATCAGTATTACCATAGGATTTAGTAACGATGAGACAATCAGAGGAGTAACCAGTGTGATGAGATAAAAATCTGGCAGTCTTTTAATGATAAATTGAAATTGTACTGCTGATTTGCCAAATTTCTCTACTATTCGACCAGTATGGCTCAGTACCATCCATTGGCTCCCAGAAATTGAACTGGACAGTAATTCAAAATCTTTAAACCTTGTTTTGTCAGATGTCATATAGAGATCTATGATATGAAATTCACAGACTTGTACATCGAATGGAAACTTGGTTATATCCATTATGCATTCTATGTTGGCATACATTCCTTGCTCCAAGAGAACCATTCCTGTATAGTTAACAGACAACAGCGATCTGTCATTCACTTGTATATTGAAGTCTCCGATGGAATTAAACATTCCGAAATGTGGTGTCCATAATGTTGATGGTAATAATGTAAGATCTGTTATACCTTCATATAAATTAGGATCCCACGTTAGAAATTCATCAATCCAGTTTATTTCTATCCAAAAACTAAAGGTCATCATCTGTTCACTCTCAATTAGTAGAATTTCAGCATAATTCAATACTAAATGATACTCAATTTTGGTAGACGTGTTATTGACGGGTCTGAACACAGGATCATAGCGTTCAGGAGACAGTAACTCTCTTTTCAGTTTTAAATTGGTGTTATACTCCGCTGATGAACATGCGATAAAGAGTACAAAAGTTGCCGAAATATAAACATCCATGATATCAAAAGCCTGATTGCTTTGTTACTCTCTTGTTCTCTGAAACAACTGATTGAACTGTCTTGGTTACTAATAGATAGAAATATTATCAATACACACCCACTTGTATCTGATGTAATGTCTAAACTACATATCTAATTGCTGTTTTCGTACTTTAATTGTCCGATATTTATTTTCCATCGTTCTGTAAAGTAGGAAGTGGGCTATATTTACAAAGGTCTACAGCTAAAATGGACCAAGAAATCTGTATATTATATTACTATTTACAAACTGTATTGACCATATTATTATTATAGCATACTTTGGTTGAAGACAAACTATACATTATTCTACCAAAAACAGGATGCAGATGTAAATGGACTTAATGTTTATCAATATGACCTGTTAGAAATTACTAAATAGAAAGAATTGGTTTTTAATAAATAGGGCGCATTGTGAACTGAAATATGGGGATATATAGACTTTTCATGGTTGCCTCTTAATGTTGAGTAAAATAAATTTGATGCCTCGACTTAAAAATCAAACTTGATAAACCATGCAATTTGGCAACCCAAGGCAAATTCTAAAAAGTTCCTTAGTTATGTAAACACATACAATAGGTATCAAGACTTGTCTATATCATGGACAGTGGCGGAGCCAGGTTTGCATCCAAGAGGGGGCGAAATATCTGAGATTGCCCGAATTTCTAACCTTGTTATGAAATTTTTTGACTGAAAAACTACTTACATTCGGGGCTGCGAGGAGGGCGGGTAGGGGGATTGGGGTTGGGGTTAGATCATGGACTAAGCGCTGTGTATAATATCATATGCATCATTGTAGTGAAAATGGATATTTTAAAACAAATCAAACAGAACCTATCCAACTGTTTGCCGAAACGATCATCGAACGTTGATCGCCAAAATATCGTTCACTTAATTATTTCAGGAAGTGTAGTTGTAAAACCCCCCAGAGCTATTCAACAAATGTGTGTCACAGTTTTAAAGTGCGAAAAGATGAAGCTGGAACACAATCAAACTATAAAAATCTTTTTCAAAATATGTGAGAACTTTCTTGTCTGTTTTGAAAAACTGTTAAGAATTTCAGAACCAAGTCGATTATATGTGACTGGAAAAAATCACTTCAAATGTGTTCCTGATTTGAAATGGTTCTCAGGAAGTGCTCAAACACAATAAAACAAAACAAATTGGTATGAAAAGTTACCAAGCTACAAGGCTGAATTTGCAAGCAACATCCAGATGGACAAACAAACAAACAAACAACTCAAATATCTGCCATGGAATAGAACATAATTTTTGACATTTTTCATCGAGAAGGTATCGATTCGTTGTTCAATGCCTCAGCGAACTTGGAGGATAGTGAAATTGATTACCTAAATAGTAAAATTACAAAACTCGGAATTCTGAAGTAAATTAGAAATATGAAGTCAGGGACATCTCCCGGCCCTGACGGAATAGGAGTAGATATTTATAAATCATGTTTATTGACATTCGTCCCAACGGTTGTTACACTGAGAGTGAGAGTACTTATATCCCCTTTGCAAATCCTCCATTATAAAGACTGTCAGTGACTCATCTAGGCGAGTGGCGGCTCTTTACCGGGATTCTGACATAGTATTTTCCTTTCTTGTATTCTGAGACTTCTCTGTTAGTCAATTGATTTAGGTCTTGAATGTGTTTTAATAGTCTTTAATAGCTTTAATATACCTCAAACTAGAAATTTCACTGTCTATTTCTATATATTTGTTTTCTATATATGGCATAGTCTCACTTAAATTCAAGTCGAATTTTTAACTTTCAAACGTGAATGATTATGGATACACACATGGATTTGGAGGTTCAAATTTCGACGACGAGCTGTGAAAATATAAATAAAACTGCTTTATTTCCGGTTTCTCAGATTCAGCTTGGGCGACCCTGCTTCCAGTGTAATTCACAAATGTAGACAAAAACCGTACAGATTATCTATGATATATTATTTGAATTGTCTAAGAAAAAAGAATTCTAACCGAAAGTGACGCATGCGCCGTTGCCGGTGTCATTTATTATCCGATTTGTATGAATTTATTGTCTATTAAACCTTGTTACTTTGTCTAAAACTTGTTGGAATTATAATTTTTTTTTTCATTTTTAAATTTAAAATTTGAAATCTTGTAAACTTGACAATCAATGACCTTGATTTTTTCAGTTTAGAATGTCCTTGACCTCAGCTATCTATAGATATGCTGATATGAAAACATAAAATACTGAAATCTGATATTTTTGCAACTTTCGACTATACCTCATTCTCTAATAAACACAAGGGCTTGATATTGTTTAGATTATTAATGACCTTAAAATTTTCGTTGTAATGATACTCCATTCCTATCATCAAATGTATTTATCCCACATCAATGTGGTTTACATTATTAGAATGTATTCGTAATTCTCTGTGACATGGATGGTTTGCTATAAGAATTCAAATCATTAAATTTGGATAAATTTGGATAAAAAAAATTATGGTTTTATCTCATAAAATCCTTACCTGTCAAAATGATTGCCAGGGTGTTAAGAGTGTTATACAACATTGCTAACAAAATTATTGGTTTGAACTTTTACTGTCAAATCAGTGAGCTAGGAACAAATTAATCTGACTACGTAATTTTGTAAAATTTAAGAATCAACAGGTTTATGGATATATTTATTATTTAAATACAACGTTTCATTACACTCACAGGTAACTATTATAACTCCTAATATATAACAGAAAAATCTTAACAGCTCAAAAAATAACTCACATATTATTAGGAATAAACAGTTAGATTAGATCAACTCAGCTGGTTATACGTATAACTATCTGTATTAGAACTCAAACTACAAATGTCTAATACTTTATACATTATAAGTGAGCTAGAGAACAAATTAATTACATTATGTATTTTTTTAAGCCTTAAAATATCTATTTATGTTTTTTAAAAAATTGTTACATACAAATTTGAAACAAACCTCCATTTAAAGCTTTAAATTCGCAAGTTATTTAACCGTTGAATTAGAACTCAAACAACAAAGTCTAATATTTAATACAGGTACAGAAAGTATCTGTTATAAACCTAAGTTGGCAGACGATGCACATTAGAGATATTTCATATTTAAGAAGAATGGATTATCAAATCCTTTAGCGTTCTTACTTTGTTGGCTATATATTACCATGGAGTACAAGTACAATTTCTTTCAACTAATTTGGAATCCTTCATTATAAAGACTGTAGATAAAATGTACAGATATGCAATATGTTAATACGCATCTGCTTCTCGTTTTGGTTATCCCAATTAGTAGCCGATTAGATCCAATTTTCGGTAGATCGAGCCAGATGCCCTAACGGGAAAATATTAGTTCAAATGAGAAGTAGCCTCTCGCGAGAATGAGCCCGGATAGACACTATTATTGACACTTTAACTGCCAATACTTGATAAGAGTTTTAATTTCCTGTTCACAAAGTAGGCTGTTTTCAATGTCATAAAATTATTTCTTTAACATTTCCCTTGGGTGAATCTATGGTGTCGCTTACACAGAACTAGCACATTCAATAATTACGCTGGCATTGAAAAATAGCAATAGTTTCATTTAGTGGGGAATTTTAAGGCCAATACAACTTAAAGTTACCCACAAAATAGATGTTAAGCCAAACCAAGACGATATTGGTGTTTATAATGAATAATAATATTTATATAACTATTCATTTTTTCTTATGCTTTTTTTATTGTCCGATCGCGACTACTAGTCAAATTATTTACTTGATTTATTTACCAGATGCGCTAGAGTTTCAATTTTTGTGTGCACTAATTGCAGGCTTAAATGTACCGCGGGGAAAAGCTAACGGGCTAGAAGTATCGAAAGGTCCAAAAACAAATGGTTAAGGTCTCGTTGCCACCCTCTGAGATGTTCACAGTTATAGCTATTATTATTGTCATAGATCTGCGAAATAAAGAAACTTTTCCGTTGCAAGATCAATTATTGTTGTATTTACTTCAAACCTATTACACTTATTAGTTGGGTGGAGTTGCGTTCTGAATTTATGACCACTAGTTTATTAGCAACCATGCGCAAGTGGTGATCACTATGGTGTGAGGGCCTCTTGAGTTTTATTTATGATCATGTAACTAATTTCATAATTTTTATATTACATTAGCACTTGTTTAAGATCGTCTATTTATTTATCCTGAAGAATGATCATAGTCTATTGAAGAAAGATAATGTATTACAAAAGCAGATCTCATCTTATTAAACGAGGTTGTGTATGAAAATAAGGATGTTATAACTGAATCCTGTAAGTAACTTAACGGTAGGTTAGAAAATTATTATATTTCACCTATATTTAGGTGTATGAAGGTGCAAATAGACGAGGTAGGCTATAATATATGGAGTCATGTATTCTGTGCGCTGTACGATGTAGATTTATATATACAGGAGAATATAGATCAATAGGATATTTGAGGTATAGATATGGACACGATGCGGTTAACGTATATTTGAAATCCCTCGACAACACAAATTACGTATTAGGCCCCGTTTCATAAAAAGTCTTACAATCAATTTTGTCGTAAATATGGTATTTTTTCATGTAAAAGTCCACAACTACGACAAATTCTTATCGTTAGTCAAGAAAAAGTGTTCCGACTCTATAATACAATTAGCTCATTTTTTTTCAAATTAAATTGGTCCATGAATTATTCGATTCCCTGTGTCACTTGTGAATAATCCATCCATTCAAACCGCATTTGAACGAACAGGGTTTATACTATATACCGCGTTGGAAAACTCGATTAAGACTGAACGAAATACTTTTTTAGGTAACTGTTTGGGTCCTTTTGTTTAATTTATTAAGAGTTGGAAAATATAGTATTTACTAGAACAAGGGTTCCAAATATACATTTTAAGCTTCGTGCATGTTATCTATGAAAATCTATAGACAAGTTGCATTAACTAACGTCTGCTAGATTAGGTAATTGTAGGTTTGAATCCTCCTCAAGGTAAGATCAATTCTAATGCCATGGCAAGTGCTCATGAAAGTCGGCCGGTGTAGACTTAAATCTTGTGAATGTGAATTCTCTTATTTTGTAACTCTATATAACAGTTTGTAGAAAGTAATGATGAACATTTTATTGTTGATATTTACGTCGACTGCATAAAAACGTTTCTTCCTCTTAGAATTCACATAAAATTTGAATTATCAAACCTGGCCAATTATAGTATATACATGTAATCATTAGTGAACTTCCGTTGTGCCATAAGTATACATTATTATTATTATTACTATACATTATTATTATTATAACTATACATTATTATTATTATTATTATAACTATACATTATCATTATTATAACTATACATTATTATTATTATTATTACTGTACATTATTATTATTATAACTATACATTATTATTATTATTATTATAACTATACATTATTATCATTATAACTATACATTATTATTATTATAACTATACATTATTATTATTATTATTATTATAACTATACATTATTATTATTATAACTATACATTATTATTATTAATATAACTATACATTATTATTATTATTATTACTGTACATTATTATTATTATAACTATACATTATTATTATTATTATAACTATACATTATTATTATTATAATATTGAATTGTTTTTACTTCTAGATTCAAGAAACAGTCATTATAACAATGGAAATGAAGCTGAAGGTTGTATTGTTGGTAGAAATTTTAACATTTCTCACCTTTGGTTCGTCCCAGTCTTGTAAACACTATCCAAACAGCACATTCCTTAATTGCTCTGGCCTAGGATTTCTGAACGTACCGAAGAATTTACCTGTGAATACCACAAGACTTGATTTAAGCAGCAATAATATAACGACCTTGTTTAATAATGATTTCAGTGAGCTGACAAACCTTCAATATTTAGATCTTAGTATAAATTTGATATCGTTGATACAAGTGAACGTTTTTAATGGATTACAAACCTTGCAAGAACTTCACTTATTCGGTCACAGATTGAATTATACAAATGAATCATTGCCAGTAGATGTCTTTGAACCGCTCAAGTCTCTTCAAGTATTGATTATGAGATCGGATATGTCTCGATTTCATAAAAACCAACCGCAACTACCACATCAAGCAATCAGTAAACTCGTTGAATTAAAACAGATAAATATTGATACTACACCGAATACAGTGTTTCAATGGGGATTTTCCAACTTGAAAAATCTCACAAGTCTTTCACTTGGAACTACATCCTACAAGAGCTATACGTATGATTGTGCGATCACAGAAATTACCAACGACACGTTTTCTGTATTCCATTCAATTCACATCCTCCAATTGGATCTCAGTGAATGTAATATTCAAACTTTTCACTCTGCTTGTCTGAAGCCTTTATCGTATTTACAGACGTTTATCTTCAATGCTGTACACTATTATGGCGGAGGTCTGAATGACATAGTGCAAGCATTGCAAGTATATAAAAACAAGACAATGGAGGTTATCAGTATACAGGGATTTCACTCCAAGACCATAATCGCTGGGCATGATCATATATTAGATGTGGTTACACTCTCTCAAATCTGTGTATCCAAACTAGAAATAACATACGCAAACATCATTGAAGTAGATTTAAATGTCCTCCTTACACCACCTTTTCCACTTTTCACAAAGTGTATCCAAGAAATTAACTTTCGTCAAAATACAATCACAGGCAAAATAAATACAGCAGCGTTTTTCCTTTTTCCTGCATTTTCTAACCTAAAAAAAGTTGACGTATCCTTACAAAAAATATTTCCATTCAACCAATTGGAAACGTTGCAAGCTAAACCACCTCAACCTAATAGATTTCCTATAGGATTACCTTTCATTTTACCATCTAATTTAAAGTACCTTGATATAGCCGGAATGCCAAGAATGATTGGAGAATTGACCGACGTTTATTTCTTCCATGGTGAGAGTTTAAATCATTTAAACATGTCTTATTGTGGTCTGTATGATTTTCAACATAGAGTATATGGATTACCTAATTTACGCGTTTTAGATTTGAGCGGAAATGATTTAAGTATTTTAAATGTGGAGTTTTTTGACACAGTTCCCAACTTAACTTATCTTCGTTTACATAACACTCTACTTAATAATCATTTCTTAATTCAGAGTGGATCACGTCTATTATCTCCCTTGACCAAACTAGAATTTTTAGATATTTCTAATAATGGTCTCGCTTCTTTACCGAATGATATTTTTAGTGAGCTCAAAAATCTTCAAATGATAGTTTTAACTTATAATAAACTTATATCTATTCCGGAGGTGACGTCATTAATGTCCCTTAAGCATATCCATATGAGCTACAACGGGTTGACGACAATAGACCAAACTACACGAAATATGCTGGACGGAACATCGAATAAAAATTCAAATTTTCATATATCCTTATATGGTAATGTGTTGTACTGCGGATGTCCTTCGGTGAAGTTCTTACTGTGGTTGAAAGAAACTAGAACATGGCTAGATGGAAGAAATTATACTTGTATGGATATGGCGGGTGAATTGACTACTACAGGACTGGTGATGCATAATTTGATCTATTTAGAAAGGCAGTGTGTATCTCCATTGTGGACGAACATAGCAATTGGTGGACTGAGTTCAACGTTTTTATTTTTAGGCTTCTTATTCGTTTTTCTCAAAAATAGACTCAAATTTCAATTATTCTTTCTGCGTCTTATTGGAAAAAATGTATACCCAAAGGAAAGAAGTGAGTTTGTAAACGATGTGGCAGTGTTTCCTGATTTGAATTCCACTCATAGATTCATCCATAATGAATTAATGAATGAATTAAATGTCAACCGAGGTTTAAATGTGGATTTAGGCCGACTTGGACGCTCTGAAACAATCAATATAGTAGAAAGCATACGTGATAGTTGGAAAATAGTTCTAATCGTAACTAAGGATTTTTTAACATCGGATTTATGTTTATTTACAATATGTAATTGTTTATCAGCTATCACCCTGACAACGCCAAATAGAATCATTCTATTGAAAGACAATCAAGCAAGAATTCCCCCCAATATTCATCATTTATTTGAAGCAATATCACAGGCAAACGTGTTTTATTTTGATATTCAGCAATCGTCAAGTGATGAGTTTTGGAACAGAGTCTACGAGAGGCTAACATTTGAAGAACCTATGTAGTGTAACCAGCAGAGTATTTATACTCTTTGTTAGCCGCGCCGTTTTGGTATATAATGAATAAAATTGATAAGATCTCAGACGAATTACCAATTCAGAGATTTTCCAGCTTGTTTTATAAACCACTTGTGTTTATATCTAATGAAAATCCTTTCATATAAAATTCCAGCGATTAGCTCTGTGATTTATTATTCCTACTCTACATCCGACTTCAGATAGCCTTAACAAATAAAAGCTTACTGGTAGCCGGTCGATTGAGTATAGTGGGCTGATAGTTTCCTTGAATAATGGAGTGATTTACAGGTAAAGGTACAGGTACACGAATGGTTTAGGTCGTCGATTTTTGTCGCCGTCTAGAGCCTTGCAAAGAGTTTCTATACCGATCGGCACTAGGGGACAAAAATCTCCAGTCGGTCGTTTTCCACCATGTCTATAATCACGGTCTGTTTTGCAGACGATAAAACTATCGAAGACAATAATCAAACTTGTTTAATATTTAAAATCCTGTCATGGACGCGATTATCTTGTCGCAGAAGCACGGGCAAATGCGAGATTTTAGTCAAAATCCGCACCTTTAAGCTTACATCGTTGGAATTCGTCGGTGAAGCATTTAATTGGAAATATTTATAAAACAGTTTACAGAATAATTGAATTATGTATATTATCATTATGTACTAAAACCAAATCAACTATTAGTCTGTACTGTCATTACGTTTTAATAACAATTATAAAAACACCAGAAAGTATTATAACTATATAAAAATTGGCTAATATTAACGCTTAACTTAGAAAGCTTTAAAGGGGCAGTCTGATTTGGGGTTCTAAAAATAAACGACAGGATTATTTTACATAAAATGTTTAGATGTTGTAAGGGACACATTTCTCTATTTTGATCGATAGTTTTCGTTAATTTGAGCACCAAAATTTCCCCAACTACTAGAATAAATCAGACTGGCAAAACCGCGAAATGTTAGCTAGAGATGAACTTGGCGAAATTAATAGCTAACTTGAGTAAGCATGGTCTGCTTCGCACGCGACACCCGCCACTACTACATCAACATCATGAGAAACAATCAGACGACTTTATGCCTGTTCAAATAAATCAGCCGAGATGCAAGAAACAGGTTTGTAATATTTGTCCAGAAGTTCCCTTCTTAAATAAAATTTGAAGTCTATGTGTCAAGTGACCCTGCTTAAGCAATGTCAAAGTCAAAACTCGATCTCTGGCCAGGAAGTCTTCATAAATCGAACAAGCCCTGGAATAGTATAGCGGATGAGTTGTACAGGCCATAAGCATTGAGCTTGGTGTAATTGATGGAAATCAGACTGTTTTCTTTTGAAAAAGATGGAAATTTGATGAAAAATGACACTAAGAGTAGCAAATGTTGGGTGACCTTTTTTCCATTCTTTATACCGTATAATTGTGAATATAATGCGCACTCCTTCTTTATTTTCAACATAATTGAAGTGCTACCATCAAATTGAACGTTGACATGAACAAAGCACTTTCTATCTGTGCAACTTTTGCAATTTTTGAAATTTCTTTCCGATCCGGTTTATTTCATTTCCCACTGATCTTGAAGTTGAAACAATCTTCTCCACTGATACTAGCACAATTGGATTGACTGTTGCCTTTCTAAAAGTTTTTTATTACCGGCCCTTCACCTGCTACTAGTTGTACATGGCCGAGGACGTCTTGCAGAATTCAGAATACCTGGTATGATCGCCAAAAACATGATATATGCAGTTTTTAATGTCGCAAATTAATTTCTTACAAGCCATCGGTCTCCATAGCTTGACTAGACTTAAATTCAAAACAGTGCTTAGGAACATATGTAGTAGTATTTGTTCCGGATGCCAATATGGAGCAACTCCCGTGTGACTTGTCCAATTATTATTCCCACTCCTCCAAGAGCATTAAAAGAATGCTTATCGCTTCTTTTGCTTCATTCACCTTCACATACAAAGTTCTGTCATAGCAGAACACCTTGATAATAGTCATTTCTTCCTTTAACAACAAGACGGTTGACCAAAGTACACATTTGTGCCTTAGAACATAATGCAGTATACATTTTAATCTCAGACACATCTTTCAGACGTTGGTCGAAGTCGATTATTCTGCAACCATTAAACACTTTTTTCTCTTTTTTTTAAATTTCAAATTATAACCTGGACCCTTAGATACAGAATATTCAGCAAGAGGGGGTCCTCACTGACTATTATCAGTCCCAACAATCCTCGATAACTTTTCAAGTAATCTTCTTCATCCAAACTTGTGACAGTGAACCTGCAGGATGATTTCCACCTTTATAGAGAAGCCTATACACATTCCCTTTAATACATTGGCGACATGTATTGTTAGAAAACTTCCAGCGGTATTTTGATTCAATGTTGTCAGATCAACGATGAGAGATGTGTCAGAGGAAAAAGCACGAAATGAAACATTCAGATTGGCATTTTATTCAGGGTTTAGAGCACAATTGCCATTTGTCCAATTAAGTAATCTTGAAAAAATGACAGTATAAACTTTGAAAATGTTTATTAAAAATTTGGCCATGATATTCTTCATGGTGTAAAGAGTTTCGGAATATCATATTTAACATAAGTTTATCACCCAATCGACACTTCTCAATGCTGGAATTACATAGCGTTTGTAACACGTGTAGAAAAGCGTGACCATTCGGTACCATCAAGTAGTATAATGGTACAATGTAAATAATCTCACAATAAATCCGATATTTTTCATTGAGATACACTTAGTTTGTAATTAGATTTCATACATACTAATAAATACAAATATAACTACCAAGTTATAGAGTAAACGTTGTTGTATAACCATTTTTAGTGGAATATAAATAGCAAGACCAAGGAACATCTAAATTATAAAGTTGTTAAAAGTGATTACATGGATGTATCAGAACTTGTCAAGGAATCTAAATCGTACAAAAATCTTAACCATAAAGATAAGGAGCTTTGTCTGAATCAGAGCCATTGTTCATTTTCTCTCGTACCATAAGTCAGTGTACTGGTTTTGGAAAAATAGATATCAATACAGATGGCTGCGATTTTATTCTTCTATCTATATGTATGTATTTTAGGTTCTATATCTGAAGCTTCTTATCAGAGCCACGTAAATCTAAGGAGGGAATTATTATCACCGGAGCGATATGATCCGCTAGTACGTCCTGTAAACAACACAGCAGACCCAGTACTGTTTGAAATCAGACTGAATTATAATGATGTTGAGATCCGAGAGAATGAACAAACGATCACGATGGCTATTTGGATGGTGGCACTTTGGAAAGATGTGTTTTTAGCATGGAATTCTACAGAATATGACGGCGTTGAGCAGATTGATATCCTACCCACTGGGCTATGGAAACCCCACTTTAGTATCCTGAGATCTGTTGAAGGCGATGAAATTCATATTCACGAAGACGCTTTATTCAGTGTGCAGTCCACTGGATTAGTGACGCTCCAAATGGGGTTCGTTTCTAAAATTGTATGTAAAATGGATATAACAAAATTTCCGTTTGATACACAGACTTGCGAATTCTTCATTATAAGCTCTTACATGATGGCAAAAGAAATGAAATTCGACAAAGTGAAGTTCAGCAATTCTAACCCCGTTGCCAGTCAATGGGTTGTAGTATCTTCAACTGCCACTATCGGAACAAGATATTCAAAGAGTGTCGTTGATTTCTCGATAACTGCTAAACGTTTACCATACTTATACATAATTGAAATCATCATACCACTTGTTGTAACAGCCATGTTAAATCCTATGGTGTTACTTATTCCTCCCTCTTCGGGAGAATTGGCATCGGTGGCAATTACAATCCTTCTTTCATATACAGTGTTCCTGAACATGTTGAGTGGTATTCTACCTAAGACATCCTCGTCCATATCGGTGTTATCGGTCTATATAATGATATTACAAGGATTAAGTGCATTATATACTATCATAGGGATTGTTCTAGTGAAACGGACAACCTCCAGACAAGGTTATAGAAGCTTGTTTGGATGTTTTAGCAGGATCAGCCGTATATTTGGTTCTCGAAACAACGCGAAAATCATACCTATTGGAAGTGTAACGGAATCCAAGAATGACGAAATTCAAAGTAATTTTGTTTGGTTTATTTCATGTTTTATTTTATCGTTCACATTAACCATTATCTGTTTTTCTTACATCTTGTCTTGAAAATTATACTCATCAATCCATTTGAACAGGACAAGATTTGAACAGACTGACTAACCATTCATCATAATTATGCTCATCATGTGGCCTGAGACATCTACAGACGCTCATGTACTGTTTTGAATGGCTATCTTTTAAGTTTTATGTGTATCGGTATTTGGTGACATTACTAATCGCAAAGGGCCTTATGTGATACAAGCATATTTGACGTCATCAAGCACTAATATTTTTTGGAATTGCAGGAACCACAGACTGATTCAAAATTGGAATGCAAATTGAGGCTATCAGTGTCTCTGACAAACATACACAATTTAGAAAACCACTTTACCATCCATTTTTTATGGATTCAAAAGACGTCTTTTATCATTTGTATGTGAGTCTGGAACAGAATTAAGAATGGCATATAGAACCCCTGAATGTCCACGATACACCTATCCATTTAGTAAATTGCTATGCAAATGTGCTCCATTATCGATATTTGTCACTTATTTACCATCGTTGCTAGGGACCAATTTAAATCTGTATTTATATGCTTTAAATTTTAACTTATTAATATGCTAGCTTTGGGCTATCCAAATTTGTTATCGAATTTATTTCCCTTACTGCAGTTTTATTACCAATTATGATCATCGCGAGAGATATGTATTTATTATGCTATTTTTAAAATTATCAACATGTTAGCTTGTATGGATTGTCTTGAATAATTATACTATTGAAGAAATTAAATCTTTCAAATTGTTTTATATATCAATGTATAATATATAGACATTATAAATACTAAAAGATATAAGATGAATGGAGCTTGTGTATGGTACAAGGGAGATAAATTCTGACACTGGGTTGTACACAGACTGTGAACTGTGAAGTCAGGTACATTCCATTGACCAGTGCGATTCCAGAAACAAGAAATACATTGAACTAATTCCTTTTATTTATAAAAAAAAAAATATGTTAAGAGTACATGGGTGGTCCAGCGTTGTACGCCATAAATACATATACATCCTGACGACCCAAAACTGCAAGTTCTGTATAGCTGCGGTACAGTTGTAAGATAACTAATGTATTTATACCCTGATATTACTTGTCCACAGAAGTGTATGCAAATTCTTTATACCCTCAGTTATCTCGTCTTCCATTGGGGTGACCAATGTAACTATTTTGTGATAATATGCGAGTGCATCACACTGAATTGTTCTTTATCGCCACTTGCTAGCTAGGTGTTATGGACATGATAATTCAATCTCAATGTGAAAAATGGAAGTGGATACAGATTGTGCATAGATATCGTAGAAGAACTAAGTTATTTGTCAGCAATTCAAAGTATTTTTATTGAGGATAGGCATTAAACACTAGAACTAGATCTTCACATTCGAACTTCTTTATGAAACCGGAAACCAATCGCCCAATCTTCGACCATTACAATCATCCGTGTCACAAAAACACCAAATATCATTTCGAATCACGTCACAGCCATTTCGGACTATTTTCTTCAACCATGGCTTTTGAAAGCATCCTCTCTCAACTACTACTGTAATATTTAATGATAATAATCCTAAAGCGACTAGATATCTCAATAAATAACTGAACACAATATTTTGGTATACAACTCCTGAGTTTTATTTTACACAATGTTTCGCCTGATCATGAATTGAAACGTTGTGCACAATAAAACTCAGTAACAGTATACCATAAAATTTGGTCCGATTTTTAATGATACTGTACGAACATAGTTTACGTTTTTGTTACTAGGTATGTGAGGAACTTCTTTTTGTCACTTACAACCTGAGATGATGTTTAGCCAATTTCATAGTGAAATTGCCTGTGTGACCACAATGTTGTCTAAATCTCATTTTGTCTATTATGTTTGTATGAATTGAAATATTCACCTCAAAATAGTTCTGACAGTCATAGATTGTCTTTGGGTTGATGAGAATGCCAACCATTCAAAGAAGAATTATTTGAAAATATGATTTTAGAGAGGGGAATTTTCAGTCCGAAATTTCTAGGAGGAAAGTGTGTTTTTTTCAAAAGGGAAATTTTTAAAACTTTTATTTCCATAGACCCTTAGGCAGTCTTAGACAAATGACATGTAATTGACAATCTTATTTTGAATATTTGTGACATAAGAGAAAAAATTCAATTTAGACCTCAATGTGGCCAGAGAGTAATACATATTATTTGCACCCGAACAGATTGACTCCCTTTCAATTCAACTGTTCTTATCTCAACTGACCTTAGAATATATAAAATAGTATTATATTAATATTCCTAACCAAAATGTAAATGTCGTATAATATGTCACATAATACGAACCTCTAATGTTTCGATCTCGAGTTCTTATGAAGCATTTTCCATTACATACTTCTCTCTCGGCAAAAATAACATTTCCTTCCGCTGGACAATTTATATTTGGTTTCAACGAGTCGCCGTTATCACATTTATAACATGTCATGCACTCTCCTGAAAGAAATCGCAATATTATTTTTTTAGAGCCTTTCAGAAAGTAAAAGATGAAATGAAAATTATTGCTCTTGCAGGGCAATTTCAATGCGGAAAATTTTACTGTTCTTTTTTGTGATAGAGATCTCTAGAGACATGTTTTAGCACTGCATGATTTTAACAACCATATTCGTGAGACTGAAGCATCAAAATTCATCCAAATCCATCAACATAAAATCTAACCTCAAATATGAAACGCCACCAAGTATAGTGTTGACAAGAACCAAAATCAAATTGCGGTAATCTAACAACTAACAATAATAATATCAAACCCAAAATTTATTGAGGCTGATTATCTAACTCACCAGAGTCACAAACAACCACTAGAAAGAGGAGTAAGACAAGGATGTCAGTTTTATTCATATCTTTTCCATTAGAATAATAATGATAACGTCAAAAGAACAGTGTGATACACGAATCAACAACCCAATAATGTAAACCAATAACGTCCTTGAGGAAAATCGATGAAATGGAGTATATTTTGTTTTGTTCAGTATAAGGAGAGGACGTTTGTAATTCTTCAACTTGGTTGAAAGTTGAAATAAACTGCGAGTCAATATTGTGAAGATAATCCTTCAATTCAACAATAAACACAACAGTGTGAAAAATCTCATTGTTCTTTCTACGCCGGATTGTAACAAATCATTCGAGAGGTATGTAGGCCAAATTCGAAGGATGTTTCTCAGACTCTACCAAATTTTAGATTCGACTGTAAATTATGACAAAGTGATATTGCCATATATTAAAAAAAAATTATGTTATATTAGCTTTGATTTCATTCCTTAATTTTGAAACCAATTTGATTTGAGAATGTTTTTAGCTGACTTAGACACATACTGTCTTCGCAAGTTCGTTGGTATATCGAATTTAGCCGATTAATTTTATGAAAATAATAGTACCTTTGGCCTTCAAATGTCTGCGATGAGAAAACGACCAGCTTACAATTTTCAATCAGAAGAATTGAAGCTGTCAGTTGAAATTTTAGAAGGGAAGCGTATTTCTATTCAATAAATATACTTGCAAAGTTTAATATTTTTATCAAAGAAATTCTTAGACTATCAGTACTGTTTGGAAGCAAATATTAAAATTCTTCTGCAAATGCGATTTACCAACAAACTTGCAAAGACAGTAGTTGATATTAGGAGTTAGAAATAAATCAATTCTGAGGCAATGGCTAACCACAAACTGTACTGTTTTATATCAAGGTTACCTGTAAGGCGTGTGTCGCTGTTTGAGGCTAATCAAACCTTTTTGTTTTTGTACTTAGTTGAACGGCAACTCTGTCTATTTGAGCAGTGGGTTTTAAGTACAGAAAATGTAAACAAATGGATTGGATTTTCAACTTCTCTTGCTAATTCGTCAGTGGTTTCTGTGTGTCACATGACCTCAGATTTACACAAACTAAAGATGTTGATTTGTATTTTCTGAACTTGTTTTAAAATGAATCATTTTCAACAAATTATTTGTTTATTGTCTGTTATTCTTGTTGTTTATTTTGGATTTGCCAATGGTAAGTAAGACTTTGAATATTCTGTATGACCTATGTATAGTTTCATATGATAAGAGAATAAAGTTGGGTTTTAAAGTTTTATTGATTTTTAACTCTCCATTTTAGATTTTCTATGGGCAAAAGAGGAGGAGACCTAAAAATAAAATGTCAGTAGCTGAAAATTAGTTATAAGCTTTTATTCTTAAAATTAGAACCAAGATGTCGCCAAATGGTAAATAGGGGCTAATGTTTTCACGGAATTAACAACCATGAATAATAGAGTTGCAGTCATCTACCACAATTCGTTCAATATGTTGTTGAAAACTCACGAAATTGTCATGTCGCGCATGTTTTATGTTTTATGCTTTTTAGGAATGTCCAATCGTTTTGTAAAATAGATGAAGCATGGTAGCAAAATGATTGGTTAATGACCTGACATACCATACATGAACCTATTGTTTATCTTTCCTAAATTTAAATGATTTGGGTGATTTTAAAATATGCCGATAAGGGAGTTTTATCAGTCGGTGTCATTATTTGCCTTGCCATTAAATACAGCACGCACAATGGAATCAACAAATGACAAGGAACAAGTTTTAAAATGGAAATAACCGACATAAAGGAAATATATTTTTCATTTGATACACTTTTAAAATTTCGAAATGCTAATTTAAAAATAAATTTTTAAAATAAGTTTAAATAAACATACCGACTCTTGAAACTAAGTCAAACTACCCGAGTAATTTGGCAATTAGATATGTTGTAACTAACAATGCTGTAAAAACACGAAATTTTAACTCAACTCGAAACACATAAAAAGTTTTGATAGATACAATTATTCTTTTAAGTGGGAACTGTGTAAAAAGGGGTCTTATGGGGAGAACAAAGGCATAAAAGTGGTAATGTAGCATCTGAATAGCTTAAAATACCAATTAATTCTCTATATTCACCACGGTCATAAAACTCACTCAGTTTTTTATGTAATTGTAAAATGTAAAGGTCACAGCTAGCAGGTTGAGGAATGGATTTGACTTGCATTTTCAAACCAACTCAAAATCATGACTCAATGCTAGAAAACCTCTACCCTAATTGATATATTTTACGATTATTAACATTGGGCAAGAGCATCAGATGGGCCAACGTAAGTTATTTGCCTACAAAGCATAAATATGATCAATTATGGCTAAGAACCAGTTGGTAGAAAGGATTCTTTGTGAACCTCAATTGTTATCCTTTAACAATACAGTTGTGACTTTCTTTTCTTCCTTTAATAGGTGGCCCTTATGATACAGGTGGGGCCTTTTATTATACCGGTTTAGGGGGGAAATATATATTTTTTGGGGCAACCGATTTAGAGTCTAATTTTAAATAGGTGTATCAGCAATATATTCCCCAATATAAATTTTCCATGTGATATAATTTTAGGAGACAAGCAATGTTATGTATGTAGAAGCTATGCAGAGGGTGAATTTTATCCACATTGTCCTAAAGATGGTGATGTGAATCCTCAAATAACATGGAAAGAAAATTGTACGGGACATTGCTTCACAAGAACAGACGACTTAGATGATAAATGTAGGTAGCTTACTTTTTGGAAACATGGTTGTAATCAGTCGATACTGAAACGATGACTACCATTTGACAAATGGTTGCGATCAGTCGATACTGAAACGATGACTATAATTTGAACACATGGTTACGATCAGTCGATACTGAAACGATGACTATAATTTGAACACATAATTGCGAACGATGACTACGACTACTAACAACATGATACATGTATGGTTTCTCTCTGCTATTTTCTCTCTGACCAACTGCTAATGTGTGGTATTTATTATTAGTGGTATATAGAGGCTGTTCAGATTCTCAATGGGGTTTACCAGATCCTTTACCGCCCGATGGTTGTTACACCTATTATTTGGAGGTCTGGTGTATATGTAATAAAAATCTCTGTAATGGTATAGCTATAGGTGAGTAGGCACCCTATTCTCCTTTCTGTTTCGAGGATATATAGTCTGGCCTTATATTTGTGTGTTATGGCGCTTAAACGCACTTTCAAGGGAAATAGCAACGATTAAATATATTTCAAATTACAAGACTCAAATAACCTACAATAAAAGATGATTACCATTACGACCCCAGGCGATATTCATATCTTCTGATATTCTGTTACTGATGATGGCTAATTTGATATCGCATTTAAATCCATTTTAAAAAAAAACGGATAAAAGTAAAAATTTTACTGTCTTAATCATTGATTTAGCTAATGAAAACAGAACGCCACCAGCTGATTTCGTACAATGGTCGAAAGACCTTAAGCTTGCACAACTTGTAAAACTTGAGACTTCGATCAATGCCCTGAACTTCAATGATAAGGGAAATTTGCTGAAAATATTAAAATTGAGATCGATAGCAAGCTGCTCATACTCATTTGGCTACCTTGTGAACGAGTTCAATCCAATTTCCCCATCTAATTCATTTAAGGTTTTAGGGGGCTTCACGCCATAGCGATCATCAGTTGCGTTCGGCTCTTCTTACAAATCGATTGCATAAGTATAGCTACACAAGTTTTTGCTTTTACAGGCGAAGGAGAGATAGAATTTGATGCCCATATTCCAAAGGAGGTAAAGAAAGAATCGGGGGCGATTATGTTATATCAGTGTACAGTATTGATGATATTACCTGTATTACTAATTATGCTATAAAGAACGTGAGCGTTATTGTATATACATGTATACTCAAGTCACACGTTACTTATTTTATATAAAATGGAAAATGTTTAATTTGGTGATTTGAGGATGCTTTAGTTAGATTGATCAGAAATTTGGGGCAGAATGCCTGAATTTCGGAACAACTGTCTAGAGAGAATTCAAAATGCAGCAACTCTATTGATGCAACATTCTTGTAAGCCTTTCATGAAAGGGTTCTCCCAAAACTATTTTCCAAAAATTGAATTCATTTGGTGCATTCCGGGGGAGAAAGCTATTTTTCTGGCGCCTTAGCTACTGCCTTTACAGGATAAGCAACGCAAATCAGTCAGCTTTTAGGGACAAATGCAGTAATGTATTGTTACTATTGATTTATTTAAATCTATAATTCAAGGTTCTTTAAGTATATTTGTATCTTGTATCATGCAAATTAAGAATGACTTTTAGTCCATTTGGCCCCAAGTGGTGTATATTATTTGTTTTGTTATTTTATTAAATTTATTCAAGTCATTGTTTTAAGAAATACTACTTCTACTGCAATAGTGGAATCTAGAAGATTGGATATTGCTGTTTTAACTTCAATTTGAACGTCCATGATGATGTATTTAGAACTGAAATGGAATGATCTGAAGTCCTTTTGTCAGTGAAGTTATGCCCCCTTAACAGTGGGAATATAATGTTGTGTTCAAGTCAGAGCTATTTTGTAATTTTGTAAATTGCGAGGTTCATAATTAATTAATAATTGAGTAAATAAATTTAATTCTCTTCGTGTTTTTAGATTGTTTCCCGAGAGTTTTCAATTTCGAATTCAATTCTATGTAAACCACCAGTTAATTTCGACGAAGAGAGTATTTGATTCCCTCAAATGCGAAGGCTTGAATATTTCATTTAGAAAAAGAGGTGGTCGCGTTCGACTGGGTTTTATTTCTGTTATCTATTGATTAACTCAGAAAGTAATTTCTGAAAATATACACTTTTCAACGCACCACCTTCTGCCCTAGCAATGTGAGTTTCGGCTAAAATAGTACCTTCCTTCGATTTGGCCATTTATAGCCAAAGTTCATAATAACAGTACTGTACATATGACGTTCCTTCAGAATTCAATAGAAAGGTTTCAAAAACTAATATAACACAACAACAGTACATAAAGGCGTGACAAATCATAGTTTTTGCAAACCATATCAATATAAAAGATAGCTTGCTAGGCAAGGTACTATACGCTTACTTGGGTTTTGAAGAAAATTTAGCAGTACAGTAACAATCACCAGTATGAAATAATCAACCTTCAAAGTCATACACTTTATTAAACATTTTGGGGTCAAACTGAACAATTTTACCAAGTTTTTTTAAATTAAGCAAGAATCATACCTTTCAGTGTGTAGAGCTCATAACTCAAATAAATGTTTTTAATTTTCTATACTGCTCATCCGTGGGTGATAATAAACAATTTCATCAAGTCTTTGTCAAAATTCATCAAGAATTGTGCCTTTAATGTTCACATCCTTGGATGATAACAAACACTCACACTAATATCTTTTTCATGAAGAATTGTACATTCTAGGGTGTTTACGAGTTAAATATTTAACATGTTTTCTAGAACAAGGGCAATAACTCATACTAAATATTCAATCTACCGATTCTCAGTAGGTTCATCCTTGGATGATAACAAACACACCGATTCGTCAAAATCCTTCAAGAATTGTGCCTTCTATTGTTTACGACCAATTGTGGACGGACCGACGGACATGGGTGATGCCAATATTTCATGTGGGCGCATAAGAAGAAAATGTTGTTTTGGAGAAAAAAATCGTTACTTATTGTTAATTTAAGCCTAACAAAGAAACAGATCTATTCATTGAATGAAGCAAATTTTATCTATATTATCTTAATGTGGCTAACACACATTTGTATATTTACATTGATGTTATAATGATGTAAGGATTGGGTTCGGACTACCAAATAAAAGATGTTCAATATTTGAATTGATAATCACAGTATCCCTTTTAAAATGGAATATCTCAAGTAAACGAAGACATAACGTAAATACCGACCGATGTTTAATATTAGCGTAGGCTTTGTTGCGTCGAAAAAATGGTCGTTATGGTGACCTCGAATTAGTCATATTATTAAAGTCGATCGAGCTGTAAATGGGTACTGATAATCCAAGAAAGATCAATGTCAATAAATTTTGCCAAGGACCAGCTAGTATAAACGAATCTGCCAACCTTGTTATTTATAATCTATGGGTGCCATTCTTAGCATAGTGCGAAATCTTAAAGACTATGCAGATTCGCCATTTTCCGGGGTTCACTTGGGTCTAGAATACATGTTAATAGCCTTCAAAAGTACCAGAAATGTATGAAAATCACACATTTCCTTCAAAAATACACCAAAGTTGGAATTTCACTTTCTAATTCTGGACACACACGGATGGCAAACCGTCCCTTTAAGTCTAGTAAGAGAACCTCAAAGAAAAACAAATACTGATAATGATGACCATTAGTATACGTGTAAGGAATTAAACGTGCTATTTACAATATACTCAAAGTGTTGAGTAATGATAAATTTACCAATTTCAATAATATTTACTGATATTTCATAATCCAACAATAGTGCATTAAAAAATTACGAACATCATCCTCTAGAATTAGATAAAAGTAACAGGAAACACTTGGTATTCACTGTCACTGGACTGAAATGGAGTCGACAGTCCTGATCTGCCTGCTTGGAGGTTACTTGGTAGCAGCATCATATGATGAATCTTCCAGACTTCGAAAACGACTGCTAGAAAATAAAAAATACGATACATTTTTACGTCCAGTACAAAATCAAAGTATGTCAGTAATGTTAGATTTGCGAATTGAAGTGATGTCTTCTTTAGAAATAGAAGAAGAGAAACTCGCAGTGGAGATTTCACTATTGTTGAAATTTTCATGGTTCGATGAATTCATGATGTGGAATTCCTCCGAGTTCCCGAACAATAAGAAACTTTTTATTGAACGTGAACATATTTGGTACCCTAGAATAGTTTTCATGCACCAAGCCAAAGGAGAAGGTATTAGAGAAATTGGGGAGGCCACGTGGTGTGTGGATTCGACAGGAAGAGTGAATTACACTTTTCCAATGTTCTCAAGAACACTTTGTGATATGGATATTTTAAAATTCCCGTTTGATGTTCAATCATGTCATGTCATGATTCTTATCCAAAATTATTTTATGGAGGAGGTGGAATTTAGAAATGTTGAGGTGGTTAAACATTTTCCACCTGGACAAAAATGGAAACTGGTAGATGGAAAAGTATCTAAAATTATCCGAGGAGGGGAGGATCGGTGGAGTGTAGCGGATTTAGTTCTGGTTGTTGAAAGACGGTCCACATTTCTCGTAATAAGCATCATCGTACCGCTTGTAACGGTTTCTATTATGAACCCTATGGTGTTTCTTATTCCAGGATCGTCGGGAGAAAAAATCTCTGTCGCTGTCACAGGACTTCTCACGTATCTAGTTTACATCAATCTGGTTAGTGAAGTTTTACCCAAAACATCTACAACCACGTCTCTCTTGTCAATTACCATTAGTCTATTAGAGATTTTAAGTGCACTGTACGTGGTGCTTTGTATTGGCATTGTAAGGCTGGAAATTGGAGTTTCTATGCCCATGCTGTTATGCAGATGTCAGAAAGGAGAAGCGACTAAAAGTACAATCAACACTGCAAAAGTTGATATTATTTGTTTCTATGTGTGTTCGTTGATATCGTATAGTGTGGTGATTTGTTCACTATCTGTAATTCTATTATGACACACTGTTAGGACGTTCTGTTAAATGAATGACGCCCTATAAGCTAACATGATACGAGGAATCTGTTCCGTCCGGAATCTGAATCTTCAAGAAAATGATAACTATAGTGAGTTCATCTCTATCTGGCAGAATTTACGTTTAAAATTTTCAGTAATGTCAATTGTGTGGGTTCTCCCTGTTAAATGATCATTTGGTTACATAATCTGCTGAGAGTGATGTATCAGAAAGTTCATTAGAAACACTTCTGGCAGATTTTCGTGTAAACGTTTTAGTAATAACCTACGGCAGGCTTGCTTTATCAAAAATTGAACATTCTGCCCACTAACTAACTAACTTTTAAAACTATATTTTAGCGCTACCACTGTATGGATAGGAAACAAAGAGGAAAAACCTTTATAGTATTATTTTTCTGCAAAACGTTTTACTATTAATTCCATATAACTATCTAACCATAGAGATATGTGCAGCACATTTCCAACATATTTTACTGTAAACGATGTTTAGGAATTCCACTTTAAGTGCATGTTCATATTTTATAAAGAGCAAGAATATCTTTAAGGAGTGGAAAATCGCTTTTAAATATTTTAATATAGAACATTTGTATATATCTGAAGGTGTTACCGCCTAGGCACTTAAGACATTTTGTATGAAGACGAAAATAGGAACTACGCATGAGTTATCAGTAAATCTATAATTAATATAAACAATGAACCATACTGGCTACATCTAATGTCGATTTATTTGACAATGATTTTAATTGCCAATCTATAAATCTAGCGCAAGGAACTTGGTAAAGCCAAGACAAACGAAATGCTTGTATCTTAATTGAAAACCAGTCTAAAGGAATAATGAATCATATATATGGCAAGAATAACCTTTTAGTCGCTCTTTGAAGGATTGATAACCCTTGCTTCCTTTTGTTATTGACAATTAATCAAAAGTTGATAAATATGGCGTCGCTTCCGGTATGTGACTGTTGACTACCGGAAGCACTCCATTAAACTATTTCATGTGTTTTTTGTAGTGGTTCAGACTGGTGGGAACGATTCGTCTGATTTTTCTAAGTTGTTAATGGAAAATATATTAGTCTTAAAACTGGTCTTTCATCATATAACATAAGCAAACGATATCATAAGTGATATTCGAAGTGAGAAATATTTAAATGGTGAAAGAAGGTCTCAATGATTTATCAACTGATTGATGTCGTTTGTCACACGTGTGGTTATGCTATGTTCCTACCATGCGTGAACATGAAAGGTAAAATACACGATCTGATTTCAGACACCGTCAGATCTTTGCCTCAGTCTTGCCAATCGAGTCAATCGTAAAAATATTTCGAAGGTTCCAAAAATCTGCTTATCGTATCAGATCGTTAAGAAGCAACAACATGTTCAAATCGTGAAATATTTGATGAATTATATACAAAGAAATGCACATGTACTAAATTTAAACCTCTCGACCTCCTTCGCGAAAGAAACCACAATTTAATTCTGACGCAATCTAAACACAGTGTAATAATGTACTGAACGTAACCAGAGCAAACCCAATCACGTTTGACAGATTATTTGAAATTCATAACACCCTCCCCAACCTTATTTTACATTGATTGTGCTACCACCTTGTTCTCATTTCTGAAAAATAACCATAGATTCTATCATTCTATCAATCTCATCATACGTGCCCTAACGCATGGCAGTAAGAATCTACATGTAGCATTATAGACATATTGACAGTGGATGATACTTATTTGCAGAAGATATTTTACAATACTATTTCTAAGAAAAAGTTTTCAACTGACAGTTTAACTGAAAGTAATATTTCTGAGGCTTTAAATCACAAAAATCACATGTTTTTATGATTGCATGTACTCTTTCTTTTCACAGGGATAAAAGAATATGTCAAAAAGATGCATTAGACAAATTATCCGATAAAAAATCCCGAAGTAACCTTGAATAAGTGTTGATTATTGAAGAAATGAATGCTGTCATTAACTGATTTCCTCTTAGAAGTTAAATATTGGCAATATTTTCTCCTCGTCCATATCCTCACCCATTAGACTAAACTTTTCTTTTGTCTTCCCCGGAAATCAGCATCAGCAACTTATTTTCAAGTTTCTTTTACACATTTAGAAGAGACGATTATTAGAACTTTGACTCGTATTGTGTTTAATATGACGCAGAAGATTAATTTTTGCACTAATAAAGAAGAGGAATTTCCCTACAAAGGGCTGCAACTCATATCTACAAACGTGAACAATTCAGTCCGCGACCAGTGAACTACATTTTACATTTGAAAAGGTCTTCAAGATAACGTTATAGCAAATTCAATATTCCCGATAATTTACAGTAATACCACAGTCAAAAATATATATTTAAATATATGGAAGCAAAATTTCTAAAGTGTATGGAGTGTCTTCACCAGACAGGGATCGTCATTTTATTACGCAAGCTTATAAATTTATTGCAATGCACTTTTATCCACAATTGCTATAACGATAGTGCTTAAACGACATTGTGTCTGTGAAATCTTATTTCTTCAAAGCAAGTTGAAACTATTGATATTGTACATTTGTTACATAAATGTACAAGTTTTGTCAATCTATTTCTGTACAACTCACTTCATTTATCAAGAGAAGGTTTCAAGCGTATTTCCCATGAGAAATATAGAACTAAACAAATCAATTCAATATTGTTAATGTCAATATAAACTGTAAAGAAAAGTTGATAAACGCACATTACACTTCAAACATTTTTTAAATTGACAATTAAAGTTGAAATAATTGATAAATCCATATTGATAACATGTTCAAAATTCAAAATGCTGAGGCTTCATTTTCATTCAAGACACCATTCAAAAAATATCACTGATCATTGTATAGTCTCTGACTATGAAACTGCCACAACTCCGCCTTTAATATGTCTCTGCATTATGCATATCGTCCCTTTAACTAACAAAATTGAGGAATTTTTGTTAATTTGGATTCTTGTTTTACTAACCACACGAAAGTTAGCATATCTGGCCGTCGTCAACTGCCTTTGTTGGTCCATAATTTACATCTTTAACATAGAATTAACCGATTTCCCTTTGAGCCGAACATCGACCCACGACCTTAATAGATCACAGCGGATAAATATAAAAATGGTTTAACCATTTTATAGATTACCAAATATATTTCTAGAAATTTAATGACAAATATTAGTAATTAGATAAATAGTATCATTTTGTAATAGAGTCAATGTTTAGATTAATCCATATATAGGCTAGGGTTTTTAAAAAGGACAGAAATATCTTTTAGACGAACCCAGAGTATAAAACATTGATAAGCAATTAGTTTGATAACGTTTAGTTGAATGAATGTCTATATATAATATTATTTACGGACCAGAATAGTTATCCAAAATAAATTAAAAAATACCAAATCATTCATCCTTGTGATTTGTGAATGTGCCAGTTAATTTTCATCAAAATTATAATCACACTTTATAGTACATGTAATATAAAATTATCACAGTTATTAGTTAAAAAATGAAAACAATTGAGGTTTAAGTCCGTGGATTGGGTTTCAGGGGTTGGAGAGTTGAGGTCTTAGGTATAATAGATACTTACTTTAGAAACTGGATAAGAATCGAGCAAATATACGGCGAGTCTCTTACATGAACGGAAATGTTTCGTTTGATTGGCGAAAATGGAGCACTGCTTTAACTCTGGAGGCATTTAACTATAAATACTGTTTTAAGGCACTACCACCGGGAAAGTGGAACTTGAAATTTTCCAAAATACAGCAGAATGATTTTATTCAGATTAAAAATGAAATATGCAGTCAATGTGGTACATTGCTCGAAACATTTTTAAAAACCTTTCCTTTTCATAGGGATCCTTGAATTCTGAAGATGATTACCCACATAAAAGTAATTTTGAACGGACCCTGACCGCTGTGGTAAAGGGACCAGGCAAAATAAAAACAGGGAGAACGTGTGTAAGAGCGAACAGACCTGATGCCATTTCATTTTGTGCGTTCTGGTACGGACCGTGATTGCTGTGAGTAAAATCGATAGTAAATAATGACAAGACGACTATATATGTGACTTTTGGAGGCGTCTTCAACCAGTATAAATACTCTAGACAACTCTCTGATTTATATTGGAGTTAAGTTAAGCAGTGAAGAGTTTTGGAACTCAAAGCTTCCAAGGTAAGTTCGATGTGATATTTTTTCTCCTAGGTTTACATTTAACGGGAATATTATCCGATTAAGCAAAAAAAAGTGCTTAAGAAGGTGTCAATTATCAAACATTAAACAATTAATACTGTTGCATTTCATTTCCCTTTCCAACAAGGGGCATTGGGTAAAGGAAATGAACCAAGGCAGAACAAAGGCAAGGATGGATTAAACTAAACTCTTTTCTCGAATTCCAAGACGACGTAGAAGCTTATCTAGTTCTGGTCCAAATTTGACGTACGTGTTAGAGGGTGAAATTTAATTATATACGCCCGAATGAATTGTATAGAATGTCAATTAATATCCGGAATTATTCATAGATCTCTATAATGATTTTGATGTCTACATCAGTATAAATTCCTCTGACCAAGGTTTCATTCTCTCTTACAGAGTTCCTTGCAGTCCCTTTCCAAAACAACCCTGTTTGAAAGAATGCGATCTTTTAAGATCGCCAGTCGACCTGAGCCCGCCTTAGCTAATAAGGAATATATATTTGTATTCCACGATTATAGGTCCATTGCACCCGTTTCGTCAGAAAAAAAGTCCACAATTTTAACTGTCAACTGACAACGATCTGTGTAACATATAGTTTGAGGAGTAGTGGGTAGATTTCCTGGTAGTATAAATATGTAGGGGAAAAATGACAAAATGTGTATGAAAAGGATGACAAGCCAAACTCGTCGATAATTGTGCTATTAAATTGCCTGTCATTATGTAAGTGAAATACAAAATTAAGAATTTTCAGTCCTAGGCATCCTTACGTCTTTTCTAATAATTTCACCAATATACAACAACGTATCTTTAAAAAGCTTGGTGTGTATCATAGTATCACCGATCTGATACTATTTGAGGATTTCAAACAAGTTGTGGAAATTTTTGTATATATCGGGGACACTGATAGCTTCGATTTGAAACATTCCAATTTTTAAACAGTAGAATTCTAGTGTAATTAGAGAACCGGAAAACGCCGGACTGAAAAAAACAAATTTGGAATGATAACATAAACTTTTACAAAGCCTCTTTAAACTCCATTTAAACTACAAAAAGCATGTCGTAAGTGGTAATTATAGTGCGTGAAATATAAAGCCTATATCATGTTTCTGATTTTGTTGCACCCCTTAGGGATATTTAATATTTTGTAATCATTTTTCTATTTTTGAAGATATATTCACATCATGCTTGACTACACTGGAAATATCGGAATATAGGAATAAAGTATCAAGAAAGAAACTAGTCAGACAACGATTATCAAAATACATACTGGTATTTATCTAAACCCATATGCATGGATATAATTATTATGAAATATAATACGAAATGTTGATAACAAAACTGAGCGCTTAACCGGGCGCAGTAAAATTTGATGAATTTCTTGACAAGGTAAATTTGATGTAATTTATCTTATGAACTGTTAGCGGTACACAGGTCATGGAGTGGAAGTGGATATAGCAAAACGGAAAGTTCAAAATTACATTTTCTAGATAAGATAACTTGCCAGGCAAGGTAAATATACACCCACTTGCAGCTTTAATTTAAAAATTGTACCTCCCTGAGTGATTACAGCGAAAAATTGAAAGCGGTTTCAAGAACAATGGAGATAATTCATACTAAATATTTTTCGATTTTTTCAATAAGGTTCATTACAAACTACAATTAGGAGATTACAAACGCGTACATCAAAATTCGTCAAAATCCGCCAAGAATTGTGCCTGTAAGAGTCTTTACGAGCAATTGTGGACGGACGGACGGACGGATATGGGTAACGCCAATATACGCCACAATTTCATGGGGCGCATAAAAATATCGCACACCTCTGTGTTTTTGTAGTGTAATACATATAAATTATAAAATATTGATATGCGACACCAGGCCAGCTTCCAGTCCGCTACAAGCATAAGAAAGGTTAAATTGATATAAAGTTTTATAAGTTAATATTATGTGGTTTGTGATCCTTTTTACCACTGGGCTGGGGGCATCAAGCAACCACAATTCATACGAGATTTGGGCGATATTTAAATCTGAAAACAACTATTGAGGTATTAAAGGGACAGATGCGCCATATTTTGACCAAGCATACCTTAGTCTCACAAACGGGATTTCTTTTAGATAAGCCAATCACAGCTCACTCACTGTCTAAGGACAGAAAATATTCAAGTGAAAGCAATACAAATTTACACAATTTCATTTAACTTTTCTTTAAAAGGGAACTATCTGCAATTATATGATCCAACATTTATGTCGTCAAATTTCTTCTGTCAAAGCTTAACCAGTGATCTAACAAATGAACCAGTTTCAAACAGGGTTCGTGATTAGATATTTTTCAAAAAGTATTTCTTTGACATCTTAATTGATCAGAATGCATTTTTAACCAAACATTATGAATTTCAAGAGTTTTGTACATTGTACTGGTGATTTCATAGAATACAGACTGTCATGTGTCAGAAAATATTCACGCCAAAACAGACAAATTTTTCATACGTCTATTAGTATTAAATTCGTCAGCGCTTCATTTAACGTTTCTTTGACCAGTAAATACTAAGTCTTACCCCGATTTATTAATGACGTATCTTGACTATTATACTTTAAATCTTTGGTGTAATTTGAAAGAAAGTTAAATTGAACAAGCCACGTTAAAAGGATGAAGGTATTGAACCAGACTTTTAAACCACATTAAAATTGAAAACATAAGATTTCTTCTGCTCTGGCTCTCTTTCTGTGTCTGATTAGCTCGACAATCTTTCCGAGTTTATTTCCAATTCGTAATCTTCTCCGTCGGCTTAGTATCTAATCAATCTTTATTTGTTATAAACTAATTCAATTTAACACTAGCAATAACAGATTTCTATTTCTACCAACTTATTTCATTCATCTAATCCATATTTATCATTAGGCTAATTTGTTTAAGCAGGCACACTTCCGTTACACAGTAATTCCATTTCGACACATTGTCCCTCCACGCACTGAAGAGCATCAATGGTCGATTTAGGATTAAAGTTATGTGCAGACCATGGCTAATTTGGTCGTCTGTTGTCAGAAAGAAGACGGATGTTTCCGGACCAGTGATCGATTGAAGGTGAACGAAACTGTCCGTCTGTTTGATCATATTGAACGACTGGGTTACGCAAGACATTCATCACATACTGGCTTATAAATATAGCAGACTTGATTAAACTTTGTTCATGCCATGGTTCGCAATTTTTGGGGGTTGATTGGAGTCTTGAATTAAAATAATAATACTTCAAAAGTATTAGAGAAGTTCTAGAACTGCATGAAAATCTGATCAGTCCCCCGAAAAGAACGCCAAGCGAAAACATTGGAAAGTACTGTTTCGGTGATTACGCTCTGTCACACCTAAAAACCACTAAATACTAAATAAATATTTCGCCCAAAATAACCTATTTCTTTGATCTTCGATTCGAAAGTTGAAACAGACCATTTGTGTGACAGATAGCTACAAATTAATATACTTTTCTCTCCTGGTTTTCTATCTAGCTATCCTGGTATCTCCAGAAGATGGTCTCTTGAAATAGAGGGGAGCCGTAAATACATGTTCCTGAAAGTCATGGCATGTGACAGCACATCAACCTTCATCAGGTTGAAGATGAACGTCCTTTTCTTCTAATATGTTTAAGAATCAAATATTGTAAAAAAATACTAATTATCTTAATATCCAATTAGTTCATGGTATCATATGAGGAAAAAACATTTTTATCATCATCGGCTTACAACATGATTAGATGGCAGAGGATAATTTATTATGGTACCACTGGACGCAGTAGGCTTCCTAAAGTTCTAGGTATTCCTAATTCTACCGAATACCTACCATTCTATATACCGTTTGTCTAATTTCGTTGAGTTGGTGATAAGTAATCGATTTAATTGAATGTTTTTTTTTCAATTCTGGACTAATATCGTCTGTAGGATAAACTTTAGCCAAAAATATACACTAGTTGTTAATTTCAAAATGAAAATACAGTATTTTTACAAAACCGAAAGTGACATATGACATAATGTGCAAATGAGCTGTTTTGTTGACCTGTATACCTCGGATTTCTTTATTATTATTTTTTAATACGATTTCTGAGAAAACGTGAAGAATTATTCGTAAAACTATCTCGAATGTAATTGAAACATCTTCCGTAAAAAAGGGAAATTGAATAACAAGGTTAACCTCACGTATTTATGTGCTACTCTTTGAATTCAGTAGTATCCTTCGGCATTCTGTTCTTTTTCTATTTTTTTATATTTTTCTTAATTAATACAAAACCCTTACAATCCAACAAGGTATCATATGTCAAAAATAAAAATAAAATGAAGAAATTTTAAACGGTACACTACAACTAGTTGTGCCTCTTTTAGAAGGTAATTCGATACACTTTTGACACAAACACAGTACGAGTAAACTTAAAATACTATTGAATAAGTTTGATTACAATGGCTTAGCCGAACAGTCTACATTCTGATAAAATGGAATTAAATGAACTACATTGGAATGCAAATGATAACAACTACCTTGCTTTTGTGGGCACTATATTAAAAATGGGAGAAATTAAAAAGCGCCAATGTTATCGTTAATTTGGCGTTCATGCTTCGTTTTGTGGTAATCTTTACCTTTTGTTACGGATTCATGGATACTCATAGTCTTACCACTCTTAAACAGTCTTTTTTATTAGCATCTATTATGACAACTTTTTTATGCATTTCATAATCTGAAACAGAATCGGGTCATCAATGGCGGAGCCAGGTTTATGTCCGAGGTGGGGCGAAATATCTGAGATTGCCCGAATTTCTAATATTATTGTGAGATTTTTGCCCGAAAAACTTGCTATCGTGGCTGTGAGGGGGAGGGGGGCGGCTGCCCCCTCTGCCCCCCCCCCCCCCGCCCCCCTTGGCTCCGCCACTGCTGGTCATACCTTGATGGCAAGTGTAGTAACCTACAGACAAAACACAAACCAAACATCGATCTGCATATTAATCAGAATGGGGTTTCGGTGACTAGAAATTGAAAAAGTTTTCATATAATACATTGCCACAATGTATTTAATATATAATATAATATATGAAAATGTAATTTTCTCTTTTCAGATGAAAAACACAATTATCACCATGGTATCCTCTCTACATTTTCTGGTATTTGTAGTCTCGGCTATTGAGTCCAAAACCCAACCAGAAACGTCTACTGAGTTGGATCTTTGTAAAGCCAATTCTGACGTCAACTCGGTCTGTCAGGCCTGCTCCAAACTGCCCTATGGCATGTCTATGTCCGTTGAATCATGTTGCCATGACTACCAAATTTTAACCATGTGCGATTCATGTACGTCAGATCCGGTACGTTGTATGAAGGACGTCCTCGACCTTGAAACTAATATTGTTGAGCAGAAAACGAATCCTGAAGTAAGTAACGAAGATACCGATGATGTGGACGATGATGAATCTTTGGAAGTTAAGAAACGATATGGACGAATGTTCTTTGGACGCCGGCCTATCTTGTACTCCAATTATTTAAATAAGCGGTTTGGACGACTGTTCTTTGGAGGCAGACGACAACTGTTTACACCAATTAAAACATACAAACAGAAACGTTATGGTCGTCTGTTTATGAATAAGAAATCAGAAGGTAGCAATGGCGCCATTGAAGAAGTTCCAGATAAAAGATACGGACGACTCTTCATGACACCGTATTTAGATAAAAGATATGGCGCTTTCAGAATTGGTAAACCCTCATCTGCGCGATACTTCTGGAAATAAGAAGGCAAATTTCTTTTTTGTAAACTGTGATTTATTGGCACATTATGGACATCTCAATATTACTTTTGTAACAGTCAAACTTTAAATATTTTCTAATTCGAGTCGTTATCTGGAGCCGGAGTAGAAATGACAATTTATACCTTTTAGTTCTAGAATCTAAGCAATATTTATTTTTTGAATATAAAAGACAAGACATACAAAAGATCGTAAATATAATGGATCATCCGACGCCCGCACCTCTCTGAAACCAAGTCTTTAGTGTGTCACTTCGACATAACTTTCTGAGAGTCCACATAGCTAATACATCTTTATTCACTGACTCAAGTTTTATCACGTTTTGTTGAAAGTTGACATTTGTTTTGTAAAATATGTTTTATAATGAATGTCCATATAAAAGGTGTATTTGATATCTAAGCTATGGTGTAAGACGATACAAAATGATGGTAATGACAGGGTTATTAAAAGCTAATTACATTAATATGATGTTATTATTTTCTAGTTATATATAGTATCACATCACACAAGTTATAAAACACACTAATCTAGTGTCTCGCTTACAATAATTAACGATCCTGCTCATTTTATGTTGTCTTAGACCAACGCAACACCAAAACGAGGCGATATCTTTTAGATAGAAATATTTACGTATCTGAATCAAAACTTCTGGAACTGTAGATCGTCAATGCCGAATTTGGCTATCTGCCAATCATCAGGATTGTCAAACCATATTTCTGAAATACAAGATACTATTTCCTGACAGATTGGAAGTGGGCTTATCTTTAGATTTGGGTTGTGCGTCACAATTTCAGGTCAATAAAAATGAGGCAATTTTTGCATAGCCAAAATTCAGTAATTTATCCCGACGAATAAACAAAGCTAAAGATCCGAGTTCTGAAGTAGTATTAAATTAGGGAAGGTGTATATGGTATTATGTCCCTTAAGTTACGTCATCTTGTTGTTTTGGGGTAGTTTTAACCCTCTTATCTTCCCTTTGATGAACATTCCCAGGAATACCAATTTTCTGGAATATTATTAAAAAAGTCAAAAAAGAAGGTCTATTCATACATAAAGTCTAGCTCATTGGTCGCCAGCTGAATTGAACATGATTGTAAAGACGAGTTGTACCCCTTGGCCTTTTCATTAGAATGTGTTTGACTGCTACGTTGGTTAACTCAGTTGACACTACCACATTCAAGATGTGTTCGAGCGATGCGTTTTCTATTGTAAATAAGATACGGTGGAGCCCATTGTGTACAACATCACAAGATCACTCTGATGATAGATATTCTTATTGTTCGAATCTGAAATTATAGTAAGAAAAAAATTATTTTCATGATTTAGAAATGAATGCACCATGAAAGACTAATTTGCTTCAGTTCGAGATGTTGAAGGTTCTTTGATGCTCTGGTTTTCTTCTTATATTATGGTTACTAAATCTAGAATTCTCATCGAATTTCATGTCAGAAGAAGTAAGTACTGGCTCCATTGAAAAATTGCATAATTTGCCTCCACTCCCATCTCATTACATTTAGAAAACTATGAACTGTGAACTGTGAGAAGCTTACAAGTTCTACTTCTAGTTCTATAGTATTGCAATATAAAACGCAAATTTAAAAGAGAACTATTTGCTTATTCACAAAAAGGTTTAAGCTGACATTGGCAGAAAGTAATAGAGAAACAGTATAATAAAAGAACTTATATATAACACCTGAAATTTGGTCTGTGTTTTCTTCTATTTTATTTACAGATAACACCCCCAATACCATCATGTATGAGAACCAACGCGTCGTGGAACAGCATCCAGCCTTCGAACAATGTCAAGTCATTTAACTTATAGACATTGATCCAAACAATAAAATATGTTTGAATACATTTGATGGGTTTAAACATTATATCAGTGTATTTGCTTTGCTGAATCACAGCCTGTATACGTACTTACCATGCGTCGTATTGTTAACCAGTGGGAATCTTAAGTCATTATCGGTAGCTTTTACCACGAGAAAGATTCACGTGAAACAACAAAAACTAATGCATCGAAGACCGATGGCGTATGTTTCAATTCAAGGGAAATAACCTGCAAAACACGACTTGAACCATCGTAAGACAAATTTTTTGAAAATTGTTTTCATGCCGAAAAAAGGAAGCTTTTCATTGTGCTGGCATTGTATTTTATCACGTACTATCACCATCTGACATGAAACGACCAACGAAAACGTGAAACGACCAATACTTAGTTTCTGGATCAAAATTCAATATATCGTGACCATGAAAATTTTGAGCAAGTCATACTGAAAGTAGACCACAACATTTAATCAACATGCGCTTGACTGTCACTACACACAATTTTTAGGATTATCCTTCGGCATGTTAATTTCTCATTATCTCACACAATCTGAAAGAAAAAGAAATATGAGATATAAAAAGTGCAATTGTAGAACGCAAATTAGTCAAAAACAGGCTAGCAAACACCATAAAAGGTAGAAAGCGGGAGAAATGTCAACATTAAAATAGCACTTGCATACAATCATTTGCATAAAATGTTTCAGTGGTCTCGGTCCTGATTAAAAATAAAATTTTCACCAGTTACCTCTCTTTAACTATAAAATTTGATCTGTGATTTGGTCCTTGATGAGCAGCAACGGTTGGTGTGACGCTTGACAGGTAAGCTTGCCATTCTATACACCTGATATCACTTTTCATCTTGAATAGTGGAGGTTACAACATATATCAAAGTCAGTCTATCGATTAGTTTGTGACTTGGCGTTCATATTGAATTGAAATATTGTTAATGTCACATGTACTTTCAATTAAGTGTGTTTCATATTTTTAATTTCGGCTATTTGCGTTGAGAACTGCATATAGCTGTCGCCCTTTTATTATATAACTATTGACAAAACCCACAAATGTTCATGCAGTCTTGCAGTACATGTATAACGTGCACATTCCAAAACAAGTGTTAGGTTTATATATAGGTTCCTGTAAGATTCATTTCAAAGCGTTCGGATTAGGTTCAATTCACGTTAGGTATCTGCAAGGTTCATGTCAAAGGGTTCGGGTTAGGTTCAATTCACGTTAGGTATCTGCAAGGTTCATGTCAAAGGGTTCGGGTTAGGTTCAATTCACGTTAGGTATCTGCAAGGTTCATGTCAAAGGGTTCGGGTTAGGTTCAATTCATGTTAGGTATCTGCAAAGTTCATGTCAAAGGGTTTGGGTTAGGTTCAATTCACGTTAGGTATCTGCAAGGTTCATGTCAAAGGGTTCGGGTTAGGTTCAATTCACGTTAGGTATTTGGAAGGTTCATGTCAAAGGGTTAGGTTCAATTCACGTTAGGTATCTGGAAGCTTCATGTCAAAGGGTTCGGGTTATGATGAATTCACGTTAGTTCTCTGCAAGGTTCATGTCAAGGTAGGTTCCTGTAAGCTTCATGTCAAAGGGTTCAGGTTAGGTTCATGTCAAGGTAGGTTCCTGCAAGGTTCATGTCAAGGTAGGTTCCTGTAAGGTTCATGTCAAAGGGTTCGGATTAGGTTCAATTCACGTTAGGTCGCTGCAAGGTTTATGTCAAAGGGTTCGGGTTAGGTTCAATTCAAGTTAGGTCTCTGTAAGGTTCATGTCAAAGGGTTCGGCTTAGGTTAATATCACGTTAGGTCCTTGCAAGGTTTATGTCAAGGTAGGTTCGGGTTAGGTTAATATCACGTTAGGTCCTTGCAAGGTTCATGTCAAGGTTTATGTCAGAGTGTTCGGGTTCCGTTCAATTCACGTAAGGTCTCTGTAAGGTTCATGTCAAAACGTTCATATCACGATAGGTGAAGGGGTTAGCATTAGGTTGGTACCACGTAAGGTCAGAAAGTAACCATTAAATAAAATTCTGTGAAGTACACGGTAGAACACCTGTGGTTAAATAACGTAAACAATTTTACATGTATGTATAACAACAAATTAAATAGCAATTTATTATATGACTGGGTGCAAACAATGTAATTTACAGAGCAAAACTATGCAAAAAGTAACGTCCGTGTTAAAAGAAAAATATATGAGTTATAAAATACATAAAATATATAAAATATATAAAATATATAAAATATATGATATCGATGAAAGCAAGATATAAAATATATTTTTAATGAATATTGCAAAACAAAAAATATATTAGCTATGTCAACTCTCCGAAAGGAATGCCGGGTTCGGGTTCCGTTCAATTCACGTAAGGTCTCTGTAAGGTTCATGTCAAAACGTTCATATCACGATAGGTGAAGGGGTTAGCATTAGGTTGGTACCACGTAAGGTCAGAAAGTAACCATTAAATAAAATTCTGTGAAGTACACGGTAGAAAATATATTAGCTATGCCAACTCTCCGAAAGGAATGCCGAGTTGAGGAACACTGTTGCACATGGTTCTTTGACATTCTAGCTATATCCGCCACTGCTTGCATTAGGGCTCAAATTCAATGAAGTCTTCGGTCTTAGATTCAAGAGCTGAATGCTATCAGGATGATGACACCCTTTTTATTTCAAAAAATGAATAATATTTTCTCATCATCCAGATCCTCGAATAATATTTGTTTTGACATGTTATGATCGTCCACTGCTATTATTTAGACATGATTATGAAATGCTTCTTTCACTATATTGACATCGTTCGTGTTGTGTCATATTCTGTGATAACAGTAAGGCTACTTAGTACTATGAAAATTTCAAACCTATTAGCAACATTATTACAGTACAAACCAAACCACACATTGACATTCCGTCAAAACTTGCCTGGTAAGACAATACCTGTCAATTTCTGTGGCGGAGCCAAAGGGGGGAGGGAGGAGACTTCCTCTATAATCAAATAAATCCGTAAAAATTAGTAATAATTCATTTAAAAAAGTGATTTTGAAACTTGCTTAGAAGCGTGTTTTAACAATTATTTAGTTTAATAGATATATATTCACGAGCGTAAAGCCAAGAAAGCAAAACATTTCGAGATGTTGATGCCGCCAGTCCGTGAAGTATTGTTT